GAAAGTACAGTACTGATATGGCTCCAGGCATTTAAAGTGCCAGGAGCCAAAGGAGATATCCAGGAAGAAGATGCCCGCATTTGCGAATTACATCTCCAAGTAAATAAACCTATCTTCCACTGCACCCCGAGGCCATCTGACCCCAAGTAGAAATGTCACCTTCGAGGCTCTTTGCAAATTAAGATTTGCTTTAAAATCACAACATATTTATCAACCAAAAAGTGAAATTACTCGCAAACAGTAAATGGTGAAAAGGATGCAAACTATAGATACAAAGAAGAGAAAGATTAAGTTAATGAGTTCACAAACACCAAATCATGTCAAACCGCGGTAGTTCTTTGAAACATGATTTCTTAGTAAGCCCCAAGTAAGCCTTATACAATCCAAAGTTCAAACCATATTATCAGTCACATGTTGTTAGAAGCAAGGCTGGTCAATTATCCTCATTCCTAGACTATAAATAGTAATAGCATGCTTGTGACATTCCCACCATATAACCACAACAGCTCAGCCTTCTATGGAACTCAACCAATGTGACCCTAAGATTAAGAAAATCTTGGGTTCTATCGTGTATTACTGTCTACAACTCGCAATTTTATTTCATTATTCTTCCTTTAGCAGCCAAGTGAAGGCACAATGATTATTCTATAAGTGCATGTGCAGGCTGAATTGCCTGCATATTAGAGATGCCAGATCTTAGCGTACTAATACAATTTAATGTCTGTTAGCAGTATGCCTTCATGTTATCAAACTATGTATGTTCTGCTACCACTTTGTGAATCTGTAAATACCCATAAAGAATTGACACTGTTTATGTTAAATTTAGTTCCATGTGTACTGCATGAACTAACATCTACTATTATTTTTTTTTTTTTACTATTGGCTTATTCATTAAGGTGAGAATTCCCAATGAATTTCAAATTTATGTTAAAAATTGTTGAGTTGGAAAAATTCACTAAGATAGCTATGCTTTCTGTTTGACTACTTTGGCCTTAAATTTGAAATTCACTTTAATTTCTCACTTTATTTTATTACCCTGTAGTTGAGAAGTATTGTGGGGTAAGGGATATTGTAAAATATCCATTACTTTATAGCTCTTTTTTTTTTGTTTTTTTCTCAATGCGTTTTTATTGAGGATGTTTGTAGAAGTTGTACAAAGACATATTGAAGTGGCATAAAACATACAAATCAAACCATTGAAGATGGTAGTATACAGTAATAACAGGCAAACACTATTATTTTCAATTTCTGATTATAGGAAAACAAACAAAAAAAGAGAGAAAAAGGGAAGGGATGGTGGGAACGGAGGGTGAGAGGACCCCATGGTGGGGGAAGAACAACCACTGGAGAATGAGTAGTTTCCCCGCCACCGGGAGAAAGGTTGGGTATTCTCTCAATAAACTGTCTAACAGTGAGGATCCATGAATACATGCATATTGTAAATATGTAAATAAAGCCCCTCCACTCAAGAGAGTCCTGACAAGATACCAGGCTGTACATGTGGTCCATAACACAGACTTAACTGAAATGTCATAATAGGTATGGCACAACAGTAACACAGGTAGTGGAAATTATAAAAGTATGCATTCATTTTTGCGACTTGGAATAAAGTTTGTATAATGAAATGAAAGAATTTAGAAAATAAATCTTAAACGTCCAGTCCCACTAAGTTGCAGATAATGAGTAGTCTGTTTAGTGTATCTGAGGATGCTGATGTAATATCCCAACATTTGCTGTAAGAGATGGGTTAGTCTGACCCTAACCACTATTAATTTAGTGAGCACGTGGATAGTCTGTAAGAGTATGGATTGAGCACATCTCCCGCAGACCCAAAAGGAGGGATCAAACCACCTCCTCCGGATGTCCGAATAGCAAGTGGTGGTGTCATTCTCTGTATTGGACTGCCAATTGAGGCAACAAATTGGCATATAATTCACACCTGGATACCATCAAAGCCTCTAGCAAGTGGTTCGATGCACCGACAAGCCCACAGGGATACATAGAAACATAGAAATATAGAATGTGATGGCAGATAAGATCCATTCGGCCCATCTAGTCTGCCCAATTTTCTAAATACTTTTATTAGTCCCTAGCCTTATCTTATAGTTAGGATAGCCTTATGCCTATCCCACGCATGCTTAAACTCCTTTACTGTGTTAACCTCTACCACTTCAGCTGGAAGGCTATTCCATGCATCCACTACCCTCTCAGTAAAGTAATACTTCCTGATATTATTTTTAAACCTTTGTCCCTCTAATTTAAGACTATGTCCTCTAGTTGTGGTAGTTTTTCTTCTTTTAAATATAGTCTCCTCCTTTACTGTGTTGATTCCCTTTATATATTTAAATGTTTCTATCATATCCCCCCTGTCTCGTCTTTCCTCCAAGCTATACATGTTAAGATCCTTTAACCTTTCCTGGTAAGTTTTATCCCGCAATCCATGAACCAGTTTAGTAACCCTTCTCTGAACCCTCTCTAAGGTATCAATATCCTTCTGAAGATACGGTCTCCAGTACTGTGTACAATACTCCAAGTGAGGTCTCACCAGTGTTCTATACAATGGCATGAGCACTTCCCTCTTTCTACTGCTAATACCTCTCCCTATACAACCAAGCATTCTGCTAGCATTTCCTGCTGCTCTATTACATTGTCTGCCTACCTTTAAGTCATCAGAAATAATCACCCCTAAATCCCTTTCCTCATATGTTGAGGTTAGGACTCTATCAAATATTCTGTACTCTGCCCTTGGGTTTTTACGTCCAAGATGCATTATCTTGCACTTATCCACATTAAATGTCAGTTGCCACAATTCTGACCATTTTTCTAGTTTACCTAAATCATTTGTCATTTGGCTTATCCCTCCTGGAACATCAACCCTGTTACATATCTTAGTATCATCAGCAAAAAGACATACCTTACCATCAAGACCTTCTGCAATATCACTAATAAAAATATTAAAGAGAATGGGTCCAAGTACAGATCCCTGAGGTACCCCACTGGTGACAAGTCCAAGCTTCGAATATATTCCATTAACTACTACCCTCTGTTGCCTGTCACTCAGCCATTGCCTTACCTATTCAACAATATTGGAATCCAAACTTAAAGATTGCAGTTTATTGATAAGCCTTCTATGTGCAACAGTGTCAAAAGCCTTACTGAAATCTAGGTAAGCAATGTCTACTGCACCACCCTGATTTATAATTTTAGTTACCCAATCAAAAAAATCAGTAAGGTTAGTTTGGCATGATCTCCCTGAAGTAAACCCATGTTGTCTTTGATCTTGAAATCCATGTGTTTTTATTTTTTTTTTCAATTTGACAATTTTTATTGTTGATAAGAACGGTACAGAAGGAAGGGGGTTTTCCGTGTTACAGTATATGTCACTCGGTACAAGGCGACATAGCGTAGTAGCATAGTAGCTTGGTAAAACAGTAATGGTTTGGGCAGTGGTATTAATAATATTGTTGTTAAGAAAAATAAGCCGCACAAAATTGCTTAGTGTAATTCTAGTCAATGCGCCCACACATGGGCTGGGGAAAATCCATGTGTTTTTAGATGTTCATCAATCCTATCCTTTAAAATGGTTTCCATCACTTTCCCCACTACTGAAGTAAGGCTTACTGGCCTAAAGTTGCCCGACTCCTCCCTATTACCTTTCTTGTAAATGGGCACAACATTCGCTAACTTCCAATCTTCTGGGACTACTCCTGTTAACAATGATTGGTTAAATAAATCTGTTAATGGTTTTGCTAGTACACCACTAAGCTCTTTTAATAGCTTTGGGTGTATTCCATCAGGTCCCATTGACTTATTTGTCTTTACTTTTGACAGTTGAAATAGAACCTCTTCCTCTGTAAACTCACGTGTAATAAATGACTCATTTATCCTTTTTCTCAACTGAGGTCCCTTTCCTTCATTTTCATCTGTAAATACAGAACAAAAATATTCATTGAGGCAGTCAGCCTGACCTTTATCCTCTTCTACATACCTTCCTTCTTTTGTTTTTAATCTAACTAATCCTTGTTTTACTTTTCTTTTCTCATTTATGTATCTAAAAAATGTTTTATCCCCCTTTTTTACTGACTGTGCTATTTTCTCTTCTGTGTGTGATTTGGAAGCTCTTATAACTTGCTTAGCCTCTTTCTGCCTAATCTTATAGATCATTTTGTCTTCCTCACTCTGGGTTTTTTTTATAATTCCTAAATGCTAACTTTTTGTTTTTAACTATTTTGGCCACATCTGTGGAGTACCACAGTGGTTTCTTGAATTTTTTACTTTTACTGACAATCCTAATGCAATTTTCTTTTGCCTTCAATAGTGCAACTTTTAAATAATCCCATTTCTCTTGGACTGCATTTGAATTGCTCCAGTCTGATAATGACTCCTCTACCCATATTCTAATTTTAGAAAAGTCTGCTTTTCTAACGTCTAAAACTTTTGTTTTTGTGTGGTGTGACTCAGTCACTGTTCTTATATTAAACCACACTGACTGATGATCACTGGATCCTAAACTTTCACCTACAGTAATATCTGATACCAAATCTCCATTTGTTAACACTAAATCTAGTATGGCCTCTTTACGAGTTGGCTCCTCAACAACTTGTTTTAGAGACAATCCCAGTAGGGAGTTTAGAATATGTGTGCTCCTGGCACAAGTAGCTAATTTTGTTTTCCAATTTACATCAGGAAGATTAAAGTCAACCATGATGATAACTTCCCCCTTCATTGTCATTTTAGCTATTTCCTCAACTAGTAGATTATCTAACTCTTCAATTTGTCCTGGGGACCTATAAATCACACCTACACGAGTTACTGTGTGATTAACAAATTCTAACATAGCCCAAACGGACTCTATGTTTGCCTCACTAACTTTTATTAGGCTAGATTTTATGCTATCCTTCACATACAAGGCCACCCCTCCCCCTTTCTTGCCTTCCCTATCTTTCCTATATAAAGAGTACCCTGGTATTGCTATGTCCCAGTCATTTTTCTCATTGTACCATGTCTCAGTAACAGCGACTAAATCTACACTATCAGTTGCCATTATTGCCACAAGTTCATGGATCTTATTCCCTAAACTGCGAGCATTTGTAGACATGACTCTAAGCTTATCATTTTTAACAACACTTGCTACAGGCACCTTCTGTCCTTGTTTTGGGGGACAATTGGATTGATGTTTTATCACCCTTTTGCCCCCCCCTCCTAGTTTAAATACATCCTAGCAAAACCTCTGAACTGCTCACTGAGAACATTTGTTCCCTTTTGAGAAAGATGCAAACCATCTTTTTTTGTACAGTTTATTTCCATTCCAAACAGAGCTACCATGAGAAATAAAGCCAAATCCTTGCTCCCGACACCATTCACCAAGCCACAAATTAAAGTCCCTAATACGCATCCGCCTGTCATTCTGAGTGTTATGCACAGGCAGAACTTCAGAGAATGACAGTGTGGAAGCAACCTGCCGTATATCATTGGCAAAAACACTAAAAACTTCCTTAACCTCTGAAACCTCATTGCAAGCCAAGTCATTTGTCCCTAGATGGACAAGTACATCCAATTCCCCTTCCTGCTTTGCTTGCTTAACAATATTACAGATACGTCTCCTGTCTCTGTGAGCAGTAGCTCCGGGAAGACACCTCACAAGACCACCATTGTCCATCTCCACACCTCTTATAATGGAATCCCCTAACAACAACTGCTTTCTATTAGGCCTCACCATAGTCTCCAAGCCGGTCTCCACAACACCACTAGTCTCAGTGCCTCTCTCCACAACACCACTAGCCTCAGTGCCTCTCTCCACAACACCACTAGCCTCAGTGCCTCTCTCCACAATACCACTAGTCTTAGTGCCTCTCTCCACAACATCACTAGTCTTAGTGCCTCTCTCCACAACACCACCAGCCTCAGTGCCTCTCTCCACAACACCACTAGCCTCAGTGCCTCTCTCCACAACACCATTACACTCTGAAAGTGCAGAAAATGAATTATGAAGAGCAACAGACTGTGCAAAATGCCTTATGCATACCAGTGTAAGACACATGAGCCAACTCTCTGATGAAGGGCCAACACTTTTCCAGAGGAATTCCTACCCCCTTATTCTTACAGAACACAAAAAGAAAACATTTCACTGTTCCACTGTTCGTTTCTGTGTATTGTAATACGTATAAAATTAAAACCCAATAGAAGGCAAACCAGCCATCTGCAGATGTTTGAGGTGTTACTCTAACAACACATATCTTCCCTTCTGTAACCCATTAGTAATGATTACTGTAATTTGGCATTTGCCTACAATACCGTACAACTTTATAACTATCGATGGAAAAACAAAAGAATGTAAAAAAATAAATAAACCCCATGATCTGTCTCTTTCAACATGCTAACTCCCATGATCTGTGTCTCTCTCCACCTGTTTACCCCATGATCTGTGTCTCTCCACCTGTTAACCTCCATGATCTGTCTCTCTCCACCTTTTAACCCACATAATCTTTGCCTCTCTCCACCTGTTCACCCCCATGATCTGTCTCTCTCTCCACCTGTTAACCTTCATGGTCCATGTCTCTCTCTCCACCTGTTAGCCTTCATGATCTGTGTCTCTCTCCACCTGTTAACCTCCATGTTCTGTGTCTTTCTCCATCTGTTAACCTTCATGGTCCGTGTCTCTCTCCACCTGTTAGCCTTCATGATCTGTGTCTCTCTCTCCACCTGTTAGCCTTCATGATCTGTGTCTCTCTCTCTCCACCTGTTAACCTCCATGATCTATGTCTCTCTCCACATGTTAACCTCCATGATCTGTCTCTCCCACCTGTTCACACCCATGATCTGTGTCTCTCTCCACCTGTTAACCCCCATGATCTGTCTCACTCCATGTGCTAACCACCATGATCTGTGTCTCTCTCCACCTGTTAAGTTCAATTATATATGTCTCTCCGCTTCTTTACCCCATGATCTCTCTCCATCTGTTAAACCCCATGATATATGTCTCTCTCTCCACCTTTTAACCGCATAATCTGTCTCTCTTCACCTGTTAAACCCCATGATATATGTCTCTCTCTCCACCTTTTAACCCCCATAATCTGTGTCTCTCTCCACCTGTTCACCCCCATGATCTGTGTCTCTCTCCACCTGTTAACCTCCATGATCTGTGTCTCTCTCCACCTGTTAACCTCCATGATCTGTGTCTCTCTCCACCTGTTAACCTTCATGATCTGTGTCTCTCTCCACCTGTTCCTCCATGATCTGTGTCTCTCTCCACCTGTTAACCTCCATGATCTGTGTCTCTCTCCACCTGTTAAGTTCCATGATATATGTCTCTCCACCTGTTAACCTCCATGATCTATTTCTCTCCACCTGTTAACCCCCATAATCTGAGTGCCTCTCCATCTGTTCACCCCCATGATCCAAAATAAGGCAAAAAAAAAAAAAAAGTTTGAAGCACTTCTAATTTTGGAACAATCTAGTACAGACCTCATAGACTGGTCCTGGGAGGACCCTCAGCAGGCAGGTGGAGATGGGACCGTAGTCTCTCTACCGGCCCTACGGGGATGCTGGGCAGGCGTCCCAGATCCCCAGCGGCAGACCCAGCTACAGGGAGAGGAGAGCATCGACCTCCCTCCCCAGCCGGAGTGTGCTTTACAGGGAGAGGAGACAACCGGTCTCTCTCCCCAGCCACAGCATGTTCCACAGGGAGCGGAGAGCATCGACCTCCCTTCCCAGCGGCCGCAGGAGTATCAGGAGGAGGAGGTAAGCCTCCCCTCCCCACCTAACTCCTAACTTGGGCCCAGGGTTAACAGGGGAGATGGCAACCCCCACCAACCCCCACGTTCCGTTTGCCACCGTGCAGGACTATGCCCCAATTCCCCCAGCAGAAGAGCTGGCAGCTGGGCAGAGTGCAGTTGGCCTCTGCCCTCTCTTTGACCCCAGAGCGTGACATTATGCCGGCTATCCCAGCGGAAGAGCTGGCATCAGGACAGAGAGCCGCTGGCCCCTACCCTACCGACCGCCTTGTTACAGGACTGGCCTGCAACCCCCTCACCCGAGCAGAAGCACTGGCGTCAGGGCAGAGCGCCGCTGGCCTCTGTCCCCCAAGTACCACCAGCTATTTGCCCAGCTGCACCAGGAAGGCAGAGGATGCTACATTTTCATCCTACAGCCTGGAACCTACAGGCCAGTACTTTTTATTGTGGGGGGCTACTTTGCTACTTGTTATTTGTGGGTGGGCTGCGAGACTAACTTAGGCACTGACCGACAGAAGGTCAGGTGCCTGGTTAGTCTCCCTCCAAAAGGGGAGATATGTTACAAACTGCTATTTGTAACTGGCCCATTAAACGGCAAATTGCCCTGCTTCCCTGGGCATTGGAGGAAACTGATTGCCGGCCTCCTGCCCTGTGACTATGGCCCCATGTTGAAAGGATGGGTTTTCCCCTGCAAAGACCCAAAAGCTGGGTCTTTCGGTACCCAGATAGCTATGCCATGGAGCCCATTTGTATAATGAAAGACTATGGGAAAGACTTTGGCTCCATGGCAATTGAACTGTATGTGTGTGCTCTGAGCGCCATTCAGTAATAATGTGCGCTCAGATCTGAGCTATCTGGGGATATGTTGAATGTACCTGTTTTGTGCAATGGCTGCACAGTTACATGTTTTTATGTGTTTTATTGTCTTTTGCTGCCATGTGTTCAATGGAGTTTTGCCTCTGTCCTGGAGATAATTGGATTACTTTCCCAATTATCTCCAGGATAAAAGACTCTGTGGAACTGGTTTTGGGCAGAAAAGCCATGCTGCATTTGGTCAAATAGGACTTTTCCTTAACTTTTGAACCACTGGACCAATATGTATGATTTTGACATATGTTTGTATTTGTATCAGTATGCTGATTCTGAAAATGTAATCACAATGTGAATGTGATGCATACTTTTCAAGTTATGAATAATGTGGAAAAACTGTATTTTTACTGCCTGTGTTTAATTATGTTAACCCATTGTGTACCATAATTAGTTCACAGGCAGAGGGGAGGATTTTTGTTTGTAATTGCTGGGAGTGTTTCTGTAATGTACGTTTATTATTGGTTGTTGTGTAAAACCCTGTGGGTGGTCCTATCTCAGGGAAACCTGCATAAAAGAAGGTTCTTTGTGTGCCAATAAACAGAATGACTTGACCCTCTTACTTGCAGCCTTGACTCATGTTTGTAGGGGACAGCTATAATCACTACAGGGACTGCTATGCTCTTCATACTCCCTTAGCTACTGAGCTCTTGTAAGAGCTCTTGTTCCTGCTTCGCTCTACAGAAGGAAGAGGTTCACCTACTGGAACCTGGAGCCTGGTCGTAGGTCCAGGGTGGATAGCAGACGGCGAGATCCTAGCCCAGCAGCGGTGGTTCATTGAGTCTGCAGTACTTATGGTGGTCTACGCAGTACTTATGGTGTCTACGGTGCTGATGGTCCTTTGGTGAGCGCTAGGAGCATCCTTTCTATGGTCCAACTTTCAGCCAGCCTGGAGGCAACCGTAACAGAAATGTACCTTTCTAATATTTGTTGGAAGATGATCCATTTATCCTCAGTGTTCTTTTCACTAAAGAGTTTATGCCAGTCAATATATTGTAAAGCTTCCCTTAACTTATAGAAATTGGCCTTTTTAAAATTATATGTTTTAGTATACCGCATGTGCTTTTGTTTTTTTGAGTTTATTTCAAAGGACACTATATTATGATCACTATTTCCCAAGTGCTCACCTACTAGAATGTTGGTCAAAAGATCATCGTTGTTTGTTAAAACCAGGTCCAGACAAGCGTCCTTTCTAGTTGGTCCTTGTACAAGTTGTGACATGAAGGTGTCATTTAACAATTCAAAATTCTGGCGCTTGCTTATAAATCCCTACATAATGAAGCTCCAACATACCTATCCTCCCTCATACACAAGTATGTCCCGTCGAGACCGCTGCGCTCAGCCCAAGAAATACGCCTATCCTCTGCCCGGATCCCCACCTCTAATGCTCGCCTTCAAGACTTCTCCAGGACTGCACCTATTCTGTGGAACTCCCTTCCCTCCTCAATCAGACTTTCACCCAGCCTCCACTCCTTCAAAAAATCTTTGAAAACTCACTTCTTCATTAAAGCATATCAATTAAACTGTCAGCAGGTTTCTCATCCCCCACCCCATGACTCCATTCCTTCACCTGTCAAAAATGACCTACCAAGCACTCAATAAACCCTTCTCTATCAAACTATTTAATTCCCCCACTTTAACCCTTTGTGTCACTATACCCCACTCCCTCTAGCATGTAAGCTCATCGAGCAGGGCCCTCAACCCCTCTGTTCCTGTACGTCCACTGGTCTGATCTCAATTATGTGTCTGTTAGTCCACCCATTGTACAGCGCTACGGAATTTGTTGGCGCTATATAAATAATAAAATAATAATAATAATAACAAGTTCAAAAACCTAATTCCCTTTGCTGAGCTACTAGTCCCTCTGTCCCAATTTATATCCTGGTAATTAAAATCTCCAATAATTAAAGTGTTACCCAGATTTGCAGCTTTCTCAATTTGCTCCAACAGCTGTTGTTCCTCGTCAATATTAACATTAGGTGGTTTATAACATATCCCAACCAATAGTTGATTTCCCTTATTTTCCCCCAAGCAGATATTTACCCATAAAGCTTCCACATTTTCTCATCACATTCCACTTTCTTAAGATTTGGCTTTAAATCATGGTTGACATACAAACATACCCCACCACCCTTCTTGTTTTTCCTATCCTTCCTAAATAACATGTACCCATTTACGTTAACTGCCCAATCATGTGTCTCATCCCACCATGTTTCTGTTATGCCTTTTATGTCATATTGTTTAGTGTATGCTGTTGCCTCTAGTTCCCCAATTTTGTTATATAGGCTCCTTGCATTAGAAAGCATACATTTAATATTATCATGAGTCTTTTGTACTTTTTGTGAATTTTCATTAATATTACATATCTTCTCTGTTCTGAGCTTTTCCCTCCCCCCATCTCCCCGACCCTTATTCAGAGCTAAAACCGTTATTCTGTCCTATCTCCATTTTGTAAATTGCTATGACCCTCCCCCACTACTACTAGTTTAAAATCTCCTCCAACCTTCTAGCCATTCTATCCCCCAGCACTGCAGACCCTCTCCCGTTTAGGTGCAACCCATCACTGCTATAAAGGTTGTACCCAAGCGCAAAGTCGGCCCAGTGCTCTAAAAATCCCAAACCCTCCTTCCTGCACCAAGACTTCAGCCACACATTGACCTCTCTAATCTCCCGCTGTCTTTCCACTGTAGCGCGCGGCACAGTCAATATCTCAGAGAATACCACCTTGGAGGTCCTTTTCTTAAGTTTGCTACCTAATTCCCTGAAATTGTTACTTTGTCATTGGTACTAACATGGACCATGACCGTTGGGTCATCCCCAACCCCTCCCAATAATCCATCCACTCTGTCAGCAACATGCCGTACCTGAGCATCCGGGAGACAGCAAACTGTCCGGTTGAGCGATCAGAGATTAGACAGGATGATTATTGCACAGGTGTGCCTTAGGCTGGCCACAATAAAATACAATGTGAAGTTTTACTGTATCTGGGGTGTCCCAAAACCAGTCAGTATCTGGTGTGACCAGCATATGCCTTACGCAGTGCAACACATCTCTTTCACATAGAGTTGATCAGGTTGTTGATTGTGGCTTGTGGAATGTTGGTCCACTCCTCTTCAATGGCTGTGCGAGGTTGCTGGATATTGGCAGGACCTGGTACACGCTGTCATATATGCCGATTCAGAGCATCCCAAATATGCTCAATGGGTGACATGTCATGTGAGTATGCTGGCCATGCAAGAACTGGGATGTTTTCAGCTTCCAGGAATTGTGTACAGATCCTTGCAACATCGGGCCGTGCATTATCATGCTGCAGCATGAGGTGATGGTAGTGGATGAATGGCACAACAATGGGCCTCAGGATCTCGTCACAGTATCTATGTGCATTCAAAATGCCAGCAATAAAATGCACCTGTGTTTGTTGTCCATAATATACGCCTGCCCATAACCTAACCCCATCACCACCATGGGCCACTCGATTCACAACATTGACATCAGCAAACTGCTCCCCCACACAACGCCATACACGCTGTCTGCCATCTGCCTTGTACAGTGAAAACCGGGAATTATCCATGAAGAGAACACCTCTCCAAAGTGCCAGACACCATCGAATGTGAGCATTTGCCCATTGAAGTCGGTTACGACTACGAACTGCAGTCAGGTCGAGACCCTGATGAGGATGACTAGCATGCAGATGAGCTTCCCTGAGACAGTTTCTGACAGTTTGTGCAGAAATTCTTTGATTGTTCCAGCAACTGTCTGGGTGGCTGGTCTCAGATGATCTTGGAGGTGAAGATGCTAAATGTGGAGGTCCTGGGCTGGTGTGGTTACACGTGGTCTGCGATTGTGAGGCTGGTTGGATGTACTGCCAAATTCTCTGAAACTCCTTTGGAGACTGTGTGTGTGTGTGTATATATATATATAAATATTTGTGTTAGGGGCACATAGCCATATAAGGAGTAAAGATCCAGTATAAGCTGGTTTAAAAGAACAAGTCGGTTGTGGTGTGCCAGAACCGACGATATGGTAGGCCTGTAAATAAAGAGGGCCCATCAAGGAGTAAAAGAAAGGAAAAGAGAAAAAGAAAGGAAGGAAAAGTGTTGATAATGTGGAGTGGTGGGAGGGTCATTCAAACGCTGACCTCGAACGGTATGGAGCCAGGTAAGGGGTGTTCTTTAAATAGGTAAGTAAAGTAATAAGCCCCTCCCACAATTACAGGCCAAATGGCCTTAATACTTGTGTTAGGGGCACATAGCCGTATAAGGAGTAAAGATCCAGTATAAGCGTAGGATAGTATAAAAGAACAAGTCGGTACCGACGATAAGGTAGGCCTGTAAATAAAGAGGGCAAAAGTGAATAATCAAAGATTTATTACAGTCAACAAATATATACAATTAACCAGACATTTCCTTAAATGCATTTTGTATCTCTTGTACTGGTTTGTGTTTGTACCGTGTGTAAGCAGATGATTTCCACCGCCCCAGTGATTTGATAATGTGCACCGGTACGTTGGCACTGGAGGCTGTGGAGGCCGCCCCTATGCGGAAGGAGTGACCTGAGTAGTTAGAAGGGTTGCAGCCTAGCTGGGTTAACAGAGACCTGACATATTTCATGAAGGTAGAGGTAGTAAGCACTGAGCCTTGTAATACAAATAATGGCTGTGATGGTTGTGAGTTGGGGTTTTGAAGGTAGGAATCTAGGACCGTAACCTGGCACCATTTGTTGTGGGTAGGATAGTATGTTATCTCTACTGGTGGTGCATGTTGACTCATTTTAGAATGTGGTAGAGCCAATAGGTAGTGATCCATGTGTCTACGTAGGTGGGATCATTGAAGACAATGAGTTGTCCAAGTTGTAGTGATAGTAGTAAACTCTCTTGCCCTTAGAAAACCGTAAAGCTATATACATGGCTGTTTTAATTACTGTGTTGGTGTTGGAAACAAATGGTTTTAAATGTAATAGGTTAGATAAAGATTTGAAAAGGTGGTTGTCTATGGGTAGTCTCTGTGATGTACGTGGGGGAACAGTTTTCTGAACACCCCTGAGTATGTTGTTTATCTGATATGATGACATGAAGCTCTGGTTGTTTGGCCATAAGGTTAACATGTGGTGTTGAATGCCTGTCAGATATAATTTTAAGGTGTTGTGAGATAATTTCAGTTTAAGATTGCAAAAAGAAGCAAAGCCTAGGATAGGCTTGAGATATTGAGATATTTGAGAAATTTTGAGATATTTGTGTTCCAACAGGAATCTTGTATACAAGGTGAAGGCTCTGTTATACGTCCTACGAGTATTGGACAAAAGTGCAAATTGGGACAGTTCCCTGCTATGTTGCATGAGTATGTCTAATCCATGATTAAGTGCTGGAACGATGGAGTGGCTGTGGCTGCTTGAGCGGCTGTAGGCAGAGTTTGATGAAATGCCTGGAAATTAAATCAAGACAAATTGTCAGCTGCGATGTTACAAACACCAGATACATGAAAGCAAACTAAAAAGAAACTGTGACATGCGGCCAACCAAATGAGTTTCCTTAGAAATCTCATGATCGTTAAAGATGATGAGCGCCATCGTTGATGATATGGCACGTGGCTTTTTTGTCTGAGTAACAAAGCACCACCAACCTGACCATAAATGACCCCATGCCACAGCGACATGGTAGATCTCAAAAAGAGCTGAGGGAGTGGAAAAGCCTTCCAGATCCTGGACTTATACAAGCCAACTACCCCAAAGCCATTCGTTCCAATAGATTGCTGCAAAACCCATGGTAGACACCGCGTCTGACCATATGGTTGGTGATGTCTCAGACAATCCTGGGAGAAACATGCTTATACCATTCCATGTGGTTAAGAACTTCTTCCACATGAGTAGGTCTGCTGTGGCTTGGGTATCTAAGGACAGTCTATGATCGTCATGTCGGAAATGTAGGAAAAAGTAATGTAATCTAGATATGAAAGTGCAGCCTTGTGGTATGATGCGCATGGCAAAATTTAAGGAACCTAGTAGGGATTGTAGCTCCTTGCGGTTGTAAGAACCAAGCAGAAGGTAGTGATTAATGTTGTTGAGAATGTTCCCTATTTTGTCTTGTGGTAAACTTGCTTGCATGGATGTAGAGTCAAGTTGGATGCCAAGGAATGTAATGATAGTATCCGGGCCTTCTGTTTTTTTAAGGGAAACTGGGACACCCAAGTGTTCAAACAGGCTTATTGCTTCCATGAGGCTTCTAGGGGGAAAAGTGTTCTCTTCGACCATTAAGAAGTCATCTAGATAGTGTATGACTGTGGGGCATCTGGGTATGTTTAATAATAACCAGCAAAGAGTTTTGACAAATATATCGAACATTTTTGGGCTACTCTTTGACCTAAAAGTTAAACGGGAATAAAAATAGTAACTGCCTTCCCATTTAACACCATGTAAGTGCCAAATGTGGGGTGGCTTGGTAGCAGTTTGAATGCGTTGATGATATCAGTCTTACTTAACCAAGCTCCAACCCCTGCTTGAATGATGGCTGTAATGGCATGATCAATGGTGGTGTATGTTAGGGGAAACTCCTCGGAGGGTATGACGGAGTTGAGACTTGGGGTAGCAGAGGTGTGTGGTGCTGACAAGTCTATGATCAGTCTCTGTTTGAGGGAAGATTTCCCTGTGACAATCCCAATGGGGTTTGTTCTCCATGCTGTAAATGGTGGGGATTGGAAAGGTCAGAGTAGAATGCAATCTGCAATTTCTTGGGCTATGAGTGTATTTACAGCCGTTGGGTTCTTTTGTGCTGACTGCAAGTTTGGGCATTCAATATTCCCTGAAGGCATATGTACTATACCCGTATGGAAGCCCTCTGACAATCCCGAGATTAGGAAATCTACTAAATGTCTGGAAGGGTCATGAGTCAATAATGCTGAAAATGCAGTAATGTTTACGACGTTAAGTACGGTTTAGGGTACATTTTATTAGGACACATGGTTTTAGCATGTTCCCTGAAACATTTTGAACATATTTGCAACAGTCTGCATGCACTGAAACTACATGTGCCAACATTGAAATTGTTGCACATCTTGGATTTGCCAAAAAAGATAATGGGACCACCCAATTTGTCTCTGGTAGTTCTTTCCGTTCTACCAGAGGTGCTAGGGACTGGAGTATAAGAGTGATCATCCGCTGTGTTGGGACAAAAGTTGGTCGTATGGGTAGTAGAAGAGCAGGATGCACAAGCTGGTGTCTTAAGACCTGCAAAGTGTCTGCAGGATATTTCGGTAACCAGTTTGCTCCAGTTGGTTCTATTCCCGAATTGGGAGAGAGCACCAGACACTTTGGCACTTTGGTCGTAAAACGCTGTACCACCATATTTTTTGCCTAGGTCTACCAGCTTGTGCATGTATAGATCAAATTCTTCCCTTCTGTTTGGGTAAACTGCACAAATCACATCTCTATAAATGCCAAAAGCTAAAACAAACTCAGGGATGGTCAGTGTAACAGATCGCCTGGCACCCCGACTGGGTACCTCCGTTGAAGGATGCTCCTAGCGCTTCTTGAAGACTCCAAGCACTCTGGCAAACACCACAATCACCGAACCGGAGAAACAAATAAATTCTCCCAAGCATGTGAATGCTGTAGACAGTTGAATAGGAACCATACGAATAGGTTTACTCTCCTAGCAGTCAAACTGGAACAGCATACAATAAATCCTTCCCCCAATAATGAGACGACACTTTACTTTGAGGGTTAAAACAGGAACTCCTGTGCTGGAACACCCAGCCTGGTTTTTATTACAGCCTTTCACATACAGGACCGCCCACAGGGAGGTATAAAACAACCAATCACATATCAGTTACATCCCACATATTCCCTCCCCTTATCCTGAGAGGAAACTCAATTACACATACAGTTAAAACATACTTTCTACCCAACTTTCATAACTTTAAAACCATACATCACATTCACATAAAATTACATATTCACAATCAATCCATTCAGGGGAACAACATATTAAAAAATGGCATGAATCCGACCAGGGGTTCAAAAGTTAGTAAAAGTATCTTTTGGGCCCTGGCTGGCACATGGCTATCTGGCTCAAACAGGTTTTACAGAGCCCTCTATCCTGGAGACAATGGGGAAAGTAATCCAATTATCCAGGGATAGAGGCAGACTCCATTGAGCACATGGTTGCAAAAAGACATAAAACACTTTAAAATACATAAAGTCACCTTTTACACATAACACACAGACATTTCACATATCCCCAGATAGCTGGGATCTGAGCGCACAAAACTACCGAATAGCGTTCAGATCCTATTCACACAGTTCAATTGCCATGGAGCCGAAGTCTTAACTACACGAATGGGCTCCATGGCATAGCTATCTGGGTTAACACATTTACATAAAGTCTGGTCCATAGTCCAAAGGCAAGAGGCGGGCAAGCATACATGTATTAGAGCAAAACGCTCTGTCAGATAGTTACTTGTATGTTGCAAATTCCTCCCCCTATGTGGGGATACTATAATAGCTTAGCCCTCCGTTCAGGCATGAATAGCCACACTCAGAAGGTGTGACTGTGAGTGATTGGTAGTGGAGTCCGTTTATGTAAATAATGGACTTTAATTGCAATGCATAGGTATACTGTATGGAAAATAATGTTGAACCGAGTGCTACGAGTAGCTATGTGATTGATGAAAGATTCCCACGTATATCTTTGGTGTGTCTAGGGAATGAGCCTGATGGCAACATGGATTACATATAGGTGACAATTTATAGAGGTATAACATAATAAAAACTAGACCGTCGGCTAAAATGATTGTATTTTTATGTTTTAGGACATGGTCAATAATAATAACAAAATAGGTATATTTAACCCCTTCCCGACCGCAGACGGAAATTTTACGTTAACCTTGTCCTTCAGTTAAGGACCGTTGACGGTCATTTACTAACATTAACCCCAGATCGCTGCGATTGCGGGGTTAATGGTGCTCCGGTCTGCCTCTGTATTAGAGGCAGACCGGGGGCACTCGATTGGGCTTCCCCAGCACCGGTGCTCGCTCTGACAGGCTGTCAGAGCAAGCACATGTGCTCAGTACTCACCTTCCGCCTCCCTGCACTTCCGGGTTCTGTGTGAAGTGCAGGGACACGGATCAGTGCTGCTGATCTTCTCCCTGTGTAAAAAAAAAAAAAAAAAAAGTTAAACCCCACCCCCCCTTTCTCCTGCTTTAATAAAATGAATACCTTCCCTGCCGATGTATCAGTGACTACAGTGATCAACTGGCAGAGTATACATTTTAATGTCATCTGATTTTTTTTTTTTAACCCCTGACGGTTAATTTTTTTTTTTTTTTTTTTAACTATCAGGGGTTAAATTTTATTTTATTAATTAATTTAAATATTTAAAATTATATATATTTAGCTAGCTGGAATTGGGTGGTGCAGGTAGTGGGGTATTGTTAGGCTAACTAGGGGTTAACGTTAAGAAAAGTTTTAAAATAAGCTTTAAAAGGTAAAAAGTTTTAAAAAATGATGTTTTAGTGGCGTTTAAGTAAAAAAAAAAAATACCACCCTTTTGCAGTCTAAATAAAATTAACCCCCTTCTCTGCGGCTGATCACCTTACCACAGTGATCAAAATACAGATCACAGTATTATACTGTAATCTAATTTTAACCACTGAGGATTAACTTTTATTTATTTTTAGCCCTCAGGGGTGTGGCAAACCTAGCCACTTGGACATTATTTTGTACTGTCTCTTTAAGGGTTGCCGGTATGGGGTTACTATTGTATGTCATAGCGTGTAATGTAATGCACTGTTAATAATGTATTGCCTGCCTGGGCTATCTGCCGAACGCAGATAGCTGATTCCTTTTGTTTCACGAACGGCACCTTTGCGGGCGTTCGGGAACCGAACAACATATCATTTAATAGCCCACACACTTAGAGGCGTGTGGCGCCTATTAACCGATTGCAACAATGTTGCAATCGGTAATTAGAGGCTCTCCTGGGTGGCCGTCGTTCGACTACCGACCATGCGGCCGGCGGCCATCTTGGATCCTTTGTTCCCTCAGCGGTGTTTGGTCATCGAGCGCGTGGAACTAAAAACGGCTACTCAACGGCGCGAACACTGCTGAGCCTCCAGACCGTTCGGGAGGTCGGGACATTCGGTATTTTGGTTCACTATCTGTAATCGGTATTTTAAGGCTATGTGTTAGTGAATGTGTTTTTCGTGCGGCGTTCGGTAGTTTTAGCTGGGATCTGAGCGGTTATCTCATGAATGATGCGCTCCGACCCCAGCTATCTACCGAACGTCCATTCGTTTAAGTGAACCAGATATTCATAGAGTTATTGAATTTAAGGTGAATTGTGAGTTCTGCTGCACGGAGGAATAATCCACTTAACGGTATATTCCTGGGGGAGGATCCCTCTCGTGCAGCAGTGCCTGATGGGATAAATGTCCTGTACTGTAAGTCCCCCATGTAGTCCCCTCTGGAAATGCCCCTGGGAGGGGACTCAGGAAACCCCTTGCATGGGGACTTGTATAAATTGTGGAGCTGAATTAAAAGACCTCAGTTGACTCCCAGCCTATGTGTCGTCTAGTTCTTGGGAAGGAAGGGTTACTGCAGTGCTGTTTGGATGATTGTATGCTGATTCCCTGGATTATCCTTTGTTGTTCCTGTTACCCAGCGGAGATATCGTGGATTATACTGCCTCTCCGCTACACAGGGGTTCAATTTATTTAATTAATTGAAATATTTTATAATTATATATATTTTGCTAGCTGGAGTGGGTGGGAGTTATGGGAAAGGGGGGAATTTACTGTTAGTGCTGCTTACTGCTAGTTAGGGGTTAACGGTAAAAGAAAAGTTTAGAAAAAAATTTAAAAGTGTAAAAAGGTTAAGAAAGTGTAAAACATTTAATAAGTTAAAAAAAAGTTTAAAAACGGGTTTTACAAAGTAAAAAAATACATTAAAAAATGCTCATTACCACTATACTTGGTACAAGCTAGTGGAAAAATGATCACACGCTAGGGTTCAAAATATGTCTTTTGAATTACCCTGGGATGTCTTCTTTAAGAAATGGTATGCCTTTATGGTGTAATTGGATTATATAGCCTTGTAAAATACTCTAAAATGGGACATGGACACAGCGTAAAAATTCAAAATTTGAGAAAAACTGGAATGGCTGTGTCTCAAATGTGCCCCTTCAATGTCCACATATACCTGGCAAAGGTACATACGGGGGTATTGCTGTACTCAGCCGACATAGCTGAGCAACATATGAAGTAGTATACAGTGGTAGCACACATAAGGTTTGCAAAATATACTGAGCAAACTCGCTTTATGTGTCAAAAAGGCAGAACAAATGCTTATTACCACTACATTTGGTACAAGCTAGCGGAAAAATGATCCCACGCTAAGGTTCAAAATAGGCTTTTTGAAATACCCTGGGATGTCTTCTTTAAGAAATGGTATGCCTTTATGGGGTATTTGGATTATATAGCCTGGTAAAATACTCTAAAATGGGACATGGACACAGTGTAAAAATTTAAAGTTTGAAAAGAACTGGAATGGCTGTGTCCCAAATGTGCCCCTCCGATGTCCACATATACCAGGCAAAGGTACATACGGGGGTATTGCTGTACTCAGCCGACATAGCTGAGCAACATATGAAGTATTATACAGTCATAGCACACATACGATTTGCAAAATATACTGTGCAAACTCACTGTGTGTGTCAAAAAGGCAAAAAAAAACGCTTATTACCACTACATTTGGTACAAGCTAGCAGAAAAATTATCCCACGCTAACGTTTAAAATATGCCTTTTGAAATACCCTGGGATGTGTTCATTAAGAAATGGTAGGCCTTTATGGTGTAGTTGTAATATGCAGCCTGCTCAAGTGCTCCAAAGTGGGACATGGACGCATCAAAACCCTCCATGAAAATTCACACTTAAAAACCTGAACTTGTCACGTCTCTTTTACAGCACTGTAATTTCACAAAATAGTGTCTAGGTCATACATTGGGCATATTGTTTTACTCAGAAGACTTAGCTGAGCATAATTTGGGGGGTTTGAACTTAGTGGCAAATATGAAATGTCAAAATGACCAGCAAAAATGTAATCCGTATGTAAAAAAATGCCCCAAATTTTTTTTTACCACATACTTTGGCATATATTGGTGAAAAAATGGGGGCATGTTAAGGCACAATATGCACCATATGAGATGCCCTGGAGTGTCTACTTTTACAAATGGTAGGCCGTTGTGGGGTTTTTTGAACAGTCAAACTGCTATAATACCTCAAATTGAAGCATAGGCCCATTAAATCCGCCTCTCAAAATTCTATTGTAAATGTTGAAACGGACATGTCTCCTATATGGCACTGTAGCTTCACGAAATAGTGCCAAAGACATACAATGGGGGTCTGTACTCAGCAGAAGTAACTGAACACAAAATAAAACTTTGTACAGGAATAGCACACACCAACTTTACAAAATACACATGAGAAGTTCTTTGTTATAAGTTTGTGTGCCAAAAACCCAAAAAACTAAATTTTACTCCAATATTTAGCAGAGGTTGGCGGTGAAATGGCTACGTAGAAAGTGTCAAAACAACCTTAGGACAATAGCCTGTGATGTCTACTTTATATAAATATATACTTTTGTGTGGCAATTTTGTTTTCTTTTATGGTTATTAAGCTTACAAGACAAACATACCAAATTCTAAAATCGCTGCACATTTAAAGTTTATTTTACTCCTTGTGCTTTGTAACCTGTAACTACCAAAAAAAAATTAAAATCCCAGGCACATTATATATTCTTTAAATCAGAACAACTAAATGAATTTATTTTTAATTACTTTCTTTAACCTGCACTAATTAGGCACACATTATTATTGCAAAAACTGTACAAAAAACACAACATTTTTCTTTTTTTATTTTTGCATTTTTTTTAATAATAAATAAGCATTTATATATATATATATATATATATATATATATATATATATATATATATATATGTTACATCAAATTAAAGCCCTTTCTGTCCTTTAAAAAACAGTATATAATATGTGTTGGTGCAATAAACGAGAGAGATGCAAATTGCAGTTGAACGCATACAGCAAGAAAATGCAAAGATTGCTTGTGTCATTAAGCGTAAGACAAGCTTCTGAAGCTGTGCCCTTATGGGGTTAAGCCATAACTGTATCTATAATAACCTGCAGACCACTAGTAATAAATAAAAATGCAATGATCAATGCAATGAAAAAATGAAGTAGAACACAACTGATGAATCTGCAAATGAATTGACTTTAAGAGTCATACTACAAGCTGTAAGCCTCCACCAATAGTACCTTATGCCTGGCACAGATACTCGAAATATGCCAGAAATCCCAACAATTCATAATGTAAATTATGCTGTAATATGAAGGTTGACCTGTAGAGGTCAGTATTGGGGTTATGTTGAAACCGCTGTTCGTGCGATTAAGTATACGAATGGAAACTGTGTATACAGATAACCGTGGTAAGGAGTTCCCATTAGGGAGTTTGTATAGAAACATAGAATGTGATGGCAGATAAGAACCATTCGGCCCATCTAGTCTGCCCAATTTTCTAAATACTTTCATTAGTCCCTGGCCTTATCTTATAGTTAGGATAGCCTTATGCCTATCCCACGCATGCTTAAACTCCTTTACTGTGTTAACCTCTACCACTTCAGCTGGAAGGCTATTCCATGCATCCACTACCCTCTCAGTAAAGTAATACTTCCTGATATTATTTTTAAACCTTTGTCCCTCTAATTTAAGACTATGTCCTCTTGTTGTGGTAGTTTTTCTTCTTTTAAATATAGTCTCCTCCTTTACTGTGTTGATTCCCTTTATATATATTTAAATGTTTCTATCATATCCCCCCTGTCTCGTCTTTCCTCCAAGCTATACATGTTAAGATCCATTAACCTTTCCTGGTAAGTTTTATCCCACAATCCATGAACCAGTTTAGTAGCCCTTCTCTGAACCCTCTCTAAGGTATCAATATCCTTCTGAAGATACGGTCTCCAGTACTGTGTACAATACTCCAAGTGAGGTCTGTACAATGGCATGAGCACTTCCCTCTTTCTACTGCTAATACCTCTCCTATACAACCAAGCATTCTGCTAGCATTTCCTGCTGCTCTATTACATTGTCTGCCTACCTTTAAGTCATCAGAAATAATCACCCCTAAATCCCTTTCCTCATATGTTGAGGTTAGGACTCTTATCAAATATTCTGTACTCTGCCCTTGGGTTTTTACATCCAAGATGCATTATCTTGCACTTATCCACGTTAAATGTCGGTTGCCACAATTCTGACCATTTTTCTAATTTACCTAAATCATTTGCCATTTGGCTTATCCCTCCTGGAACATCAACCCTGTTACATATCTTAGTATCATCAGCAAAAAGGCATACCTTACCATCATGACCTTCTGCAATATCACTAATAAAAATATTAAAGAGAATGGGTCCAAGTACAGATCCCTGAGGTACCCCACTGGTGACAAGTCCAAGCTTCGAATATATTCCATTAACTACAACCCTTTGTTGCCTGTCACTCAGCCACTGCCTTACCCATTCAACAATATTTGAATCTAAACTTAAAGATTGCAGTTTATTGATAAGCCTTCTATGTGCAACAGTGTCAAAAGCCTTACTGAAATCTAGGTAAGCAATGTCTACTGCACCACCCTGATCTATAATTTTAGTTACCCAATCAAAAAAATCAATAAGATTAGTTTGGCATGATCTCCCTGATGTAAACCCATGTTGTCTCTGATCTTGAAATCCATGTGATTTTAGATGTTCAACAATCCTATCCGTTAACATGGTTTCCATCACTTTCCCCACTACTGAAGTAAGGCTTACTGGCATATAGTTGCTCGACTCCTCCCTATTACCTTTCTTGTAAATGGGCACAACATTCGCTAACTTCCAATCTTCTGGGACTACTCCTGTTAACAATGATTGGTTAAATAAATCTGTTAATGGTTTTGCTAGTACACCACTAAGCTCTTTTAATAGCTTTGGGTGTATTCCATCAGGTCCCATTGACTTATTTGTCTTTACTTTTGACAGTTGAAATAGAACCTCTTCCTCTGTAAACTCACGTGTAATAAATGACTCATTTATCCTTTTTCTCAACTGAGGTCCCTTTCATTCATTTTCATCTGTAAATACAGAACAAAAATATTAATTGAGGCAGTCAGCTAGACCTTTATCCTCTTCTACATACCTTCCTTCTTTTGTTTTTAATCTAACTAATCCTTGTTTTACTTTTATTTTCTCATTTATGTATCTAAAAAATGTTTTGTCTCCCTTTTTTACTAACTGTGCTATTTTCTCTTCTGTGTGTGATTTGGAAGCTCTTATAACTTGCTCTGCGGCCGTATATCATTGGCAAAAACACTAAAAACTTCCTTAACCTCTGAAACCTCATTGCAAGCCAAGTCATTTGTCCCTAGATGGACAAGTACATGCAATTCTCCTTCCTGCTTTGCTTGCTTAACAATATTACAGATACGTCTCCTGTCTCTGTGAGCAATAGCTCCGGGAAGACACCTCACAAGACCGCCATTGTCCATCTCCACAAAACCACTAGCCTCAGTGCCTCTCTCCACAACACCACTAGCCTCAGTGCCTCTCACCACAACACCACTAGCCTCAGTGCCTCTCTCCACAACACCACTAGCCTCAGTGCCTCTCTCCACAACACCACTAGCCTCAGTGCCTCTCTCCACAACACCACTAGTCTTATTGCCTCTCTCCACAACACCACTAGCCTCAGTGCCTCTCTCCACAACACCACTAGCCTCAGTGCCTCTCTCCACAACACCACTAGCCTCAGTGCCTCTCTCCACAACACCATTACACTCTGAAAGTGCAGAAAATGAATTATGTAGAGCAACAGACTGTGCAAAATGCCTTTTATCCACAACTCTATGTCTACCAGATCCTACAGTAATCCATCTGCCATTCCTAGTATGTCTCTGCGGCACTGGCTTTGCAGCAGTTCCAGTCTGAGTTTGTTCACCAGATAATTTACAAATCTCAGACTTCAAAAATACAATCTCCTGCCGCAAGATAGAGAACTGTCTACAGATTAGACAACAACCAAACCTCCAAAAAGTGGAACGTGAAACAAATGCATAGCAACTATTACACTGAACTAAGTCTGCCATTCCAATGAGGAGAATAATTTAAATCAAACAAATCTTAACTTTTTTCTTTATCCTCCTGAATACCTCAGATTACCTCCAGGTTATCTCCAGAATATCTCCAACCACACACTTAGAAGCAACACTCTCCAGATATCTCCAACTACACAATTAGAAGCAACACTCTCCAGAATATCTCCAACTACACACTTAGAAGCAACACTTAGATGAAGCAACCAAGCTATATTAGACAAGCTAATGAGACCAAGCCTTATATAACTCCTAAAATCACCGCCCACTAGGAATGTTTAACACCTGGGTAGGCCTCTGCTTATTTGCAAACAATAGCTAATTAACCAGCAATCAACAGCAAGTAACTAGCTTAATCAAATCAAATGCCTTATAATTACCAACAGGAATTCAAACCTTGTGCAATCAGTAACCTTTTCCTACAGATGAATCTTACCTGTAACAGTAGAAAAGAAAGCTCTTAGCACAACTCTTAGACAGTTGAAGCTTCTGTAAAACTCTCCAGAATATCTCCAACTACACACTTAGAAGCAACACTTAGATGAAGCAACCAAGCTATAGTAAAGGATGAGTAAAGGAAACGAATGGACCATGTAACAAAAGTTGCAAACGAACGGACACTGTAAAGTGTCGGCAGCATGTGAAAACATACAAATGGAAACCGTAAGGTGAGGACCCGAACCGTGAGGACGCCGTGGGATGGTTACGGTTTGGTATTAGGACTCAATCTGCGTCGCTGGAAAACTGTTTGACCGGAAAACCTTGTAGCTTGAATCCTGAAAACACAGCTGAAGTAGAAAGACCTTGTGGAGCACAAGTACTGACAAAAAATGGCGTCTGGATGAACCCGGAAGTGGATCTCATTCAAACGCTGACTTCAAATGGTATGGAGCCAAGTAAGGGGTGTTCCTTAAATAGGTAAGTAAAGTAATAAGCCCCTCCCACAATTACAGGCCATATGGCTTTAATACATACATATGTCACTTGTCTTGGCAAACTTAGTGAATGTCATGCTGTATGGATTATATGCTCAATCATGTATAGAATACAATACATTGGATCATAAATGCCTTTTTCGGACCTGTCATATTTGATGTGGATATGTTATTAGTTACTAGAGGTATTCCTTAATTTTTATTATTGCAACAAATTTGGTATCAAAATTAATCCATCATTGAATTACTTGGGTCCATTAGTTATTTTCACAAGTTCTTTCACCACTCCCCACTTTCTCTCTTTTTTTTATCCATTCCCTTTGAGGCTGCTGATTGTAGCATTCAAGATCCCAACTGTCCAATCAGGATAAGGTAACTCCTATTTATACCGGACATAGTCTAAGTCCAGTTCCCCTCTGATGGGCTGAAAGGCAAAACGTGTGTTGGGGCAACACTGCTCACATCTAGCTAAATCTATTCACATATCGACCGGGACATGGTATCATCTAATAAGTTGTGATTTTTGCAATCTAATCTAACGATACTTCAGACAATTGCTACGCTATAGTATATCATTGGTGGGAGGTTTGCTGCACCTAGGAATACTGTAAGGAGGGTTTTTAGTATTGAGGGATGTAGTCGAAGGCACATTAGGGTCAATCTGTACACAGTTATCTGGAACTATTTACTCTCCCCTGTCTACTAGAGTCATTCAATATGAATAACGTTGTTTTTTTTTGGATACATAATTGCACAATATATTGGCAACAATATCCTTTCATACTATGCCAGCAACATCTTGCTTGTTGTACCTAGTGAGCGATTTGATCTAATAGAGTAAGTTACCGCTATGTGTTTTTACAAATTGTTTGTTTTTTGATTAGGCTGTCTACCACATACATTTTTAGGTGCCAATTCTACTACCACGTTGCCACCATTTAGTAGACATTCCCTAATATTTATTTGTTTATTATTTTCTGTTTGTCTATTTTTTGGTAGCACTGTATGGTCTATGATTAGCTGTGAATTTTTTATCCTGTATTTAGTAAAAGTGAAGTTTTAACTACTAACATACGGAACAGATATAGGTCCGTTCATTTCCACTAATATATTTCCATAAGGTATATTACAACCTTTCTCTTTTTTGTCTGGGCCCTAAAAACATTATTTTCACAAGAATTTTAAAATGCAGATTTAATACAGGCAGTTGTTGTCAATGCTGTAACTCGCTGAATTTATGTAGTTAAAGGTAGCCAAACAAAATCACACTAAAACGTCCAACACAGAAAAAGTCACCGACAGCACTGTAACAGTAATATTAGTGCTATGTCACAAACTGTGTAAGATTGGTGAGAATCTGTTCCTTCACCCACATTGAATTCCGTTGCTCCTGTTCTATTATTTCATCCACTGATCTGATTCTCTCTCATCTTATCCAGTCTTTTACCCCCTTTCACAAGTAACGAGTAGAGAACTTATTCAACCAGGGCGACGTTAACAAATGAATGGTTGTGCAATGTAACAAGATGCATACAATGAACACATAAATGATTCCTTAATATATCTTTATATGTGCGACCAATCACAGCAATCCTGTGATCATTTATAATCCTTGCATTGGCTTCCAGAACCCTTTAGGATCTGATTCAAAGTACAGACGTGAAGGTGCCAACCATTACAATTCCACCCATTTCATTTCCTCCTCCCGTTCCCTTCACTCACGCTAATGACCTCATCTGGTCTTCGGTTCATTCTCACTTTGCTCATTTCTAACTACAGGATTTCTCAAGAACTGCACAATGGCATTCCCCATCTCGTCCTGCAGACTTCCCCAGTCATTGAACAAGTCACTTATAGCCCACCACTTCAGGAAAGTCTACTATTGTCTGTCCTCTTAGTTCCTCTAAACACCTATTGCAGGATTAACTACACACAGGAGTCAGACATGCCATTCCATCCCACCATTCCTTGGATATTGGACACTGTGCAGGCCCTGCAATATATATCCCTAGTGGATAATTGTACAACGTTGGCACGATATAAACGCTAATATCAGCAAATATGGGCACTGCTGCTTTGCCAGGCGGGCAATTTAGTTCCATATTACAGCGGGCACGTGTTTTCCCTCATGGTACTTTTACTACCAACTGCTTTGTGATTTCAAGACATCTTAAAGAATATTTATCTGAAACATGGGATGTGCTTGATAAAACTGCAATTTCATTTACAGAATGCTCTTCACGTATATCTAGTGCATTAAAACAACACATGTTCACACACGTTTAATTTTTCATTTCTTCTTAACACAAATAATGAATGGATACAAAGTTTGAGAGATTATAATGTGTGGGTATGTGTAAGATTAACAAAGAAGCAGAAATAGCACTTTTGTTACATATCGTGGGTGTCACAATAATTGTGAAATAAAAATGGTCAGAGAGGCTTATGGACATTTTATACATTAAATATTGTTTCCTGGCTAAATGATGATTTTGTACAAATGAGAGCAGGTATGTTGACGGTGCTCAGATTACGCCGTATATCACAGATCTGGCATTAATCCTAAACCAAGTGAAGTGACTTTGTAATATGGAGCTGACCGAGACCAGTGGAGTTTGACTCACTCTATACTGTAGAAACACATGTAGTGGTTAATCTGAGGATATTAGAACATATGGTAAGGTGAATCTCAAACCCTAAAAATACATGAGGTTAAACGTCTCATGTTAAGAGAGCAGAGCACTAGGTCTTTCAACCTCAATCAGTATTCTGGGGCTACGTCTGGTTCTCGTCATCCTCAATGTCCTCTCCAACCAAGTAATGACTAATTAGATGGGCCAAAACATGGTGCAATTATAAATGGAAAACATTAAACATGTGCATTTTATATATTTTATTCACAGTCCTTTGAGGAGAGTATGCCTGTTCTGACACGCCGACATAGGGTTCTTCCTGAGAAATATTCTCTCAGATGTCCTGCGCTACACACACTAAGATCAAGTGCAAAACATGAAATCTTCCAACCCAGATTTGGGAGATTATCTGCGATAGGAAGAGAAGGCCATTACACCAATGAGCAGGGTGACCCCTCCTAAACATGCAGAGGCGGTGGCAGAAAATGCATATGGGTACTGAATCTGGCAATACCAAAGGATGATCACGATCAGGCCCAAAAGAGGTACCAGCATACTGCCAATGTTCAGGGGTACCTGGGCTAGCTCTGGCCCTCCAGGGCCCTGACCTGAAGCATGCTGGGAAATGTGACAATGAAGCACACATCCATCTCTTAGCTGTAGTGCAGACACTGTCTGAGAGTCATCACGAAGAAGTTGTCCCTGGTATATGAGGCGTACCTGGGTCTCCTGGCCTGGAAAATGTATTCTGCAGAAAAATAGGCAAACAAGCAGTGAGTAGAAAGGACACAGCAGACATTGGTGGAACAATACGACGGAAGGTTGAGAAGAAACGGTGCAGCAGAAATGATAAGGTAAGCGAATGAGAGGAAAGGACAGAACAGAGAAGGAATCAATGAGACAGGAGGATGAAAGATAAAGATTAAATGAATTATAAGATGAGAAGTAGGGGCACAGCAGAGAGTGACAAAGTAAGACAGAAAGAGAAGTAGCAGAGAACGTATAGACAATATGATGAGAAACAGGGACACAGCAGAAAATAAATTAATAATAAGACAGAAAGGATGAGCAGATGGTAACAGAGAATGAAAGAATAAGACAAGATAGTGAGCAAAAAGGACACAGTAAAGAATGAATGAGCAATAAGATGAGCGATACAGCAGAGAATAAAAGAATATAACAAGACGATGAGAGGAAAAATGCAGCAGAAAACAGAAGTAATTAACAGATAGACCAAATTATGGCTACAGCAAAGAGAGAACAACGGAAGCAGAAGATGAGAAGATCAGAGAATGAAGGCAACAAACAATGAAAGATCAAGAAGGAAATGAAGCAGCAGAGAACGATACAATTGGTGACAGAAAGGCAAAAGTGAATGCTGGACCAAAGGAAACAGCAAAGTGAAATGTATTATCTGTGCTTAGTAATTAGTCGAGACAGAACAACTCAATAACAAAACATTAATTCTACAATTACACATGAGTACAGTGAAATCATGATGTCAAAGTAGTCCAGAGGATCTCCATTGTGCCTGATCTAATGGGCAAATCAAGATAACGAGATGACAATTGTATCACCAGAAATAGTCCGCAGTAATACTATGTATGACTAGCAAACTCACTATCATTCAGCATTAGAATGTAATGCCTTCTTAAAGCTGTAAAACAAAAATCTGGAAACCTAGAACCTCTAGGGCTGTAATTAACGATTAGTTTTATAATCGATTAATTGACATTTAAAAAAAACAAAAAACATTTTTGGTCAGATAAAAAAAATTCATAAATTGAAACAATTTTTTCTTATCTTTAAAATAAACTTCACACAAACCTTACTTTAACACAACAATTTGTCCAATTTTTGCAGAGCAAATTTTAAAAATTCAACAAAACCAAACCACAAGCTTTTTGAAAAGATGTGTGGAACTCAAACTTCCAGAAACAATGTATCAAAGTGCAAAAATGTCCCCATGACCACATGCTAGCTCTAACACTATGTTGCCCTCAGCAGATGATAGGAGCCAGACGGTGTTGTGATGCCTGGGGTGCATAACTAGGATTTTGTCAGTTTTGCTAAAGTGGAATATTTATTTTTAGTTCTCCTCCGATGCAAACTGAGTCTCTGCTTGTCAAGAGGTCTCTAAACAAAGTAAGCCAGGACTTCATTTCTAACTTGGGAGGAAGCTTTTGTCTCAGGGAGTGGGAATATGTTCCACTATCGCAAATACATCCATCTTATATTTTTTATTTGGAAGGGTAATAAGGATTCGCTCAACAAGTTTTTTATCCTTGTTAAATAATAATCAAAGACATATTGTCCTTACTCAGGAATGTAATAAGCCATTTTTTTTATTTGGAAATATATGTAGAAGACTGTAGGATCAAAAAGACTTTTCTTAAAAAGGTAAATATTAACAGTTTTACTAGCTGTCACTATGGACCTTGGTTGAGAAACATTCTCACGTGTCAATTTGTATGTATTTTAAGAAATTGTAGTGATCTGGGTGAATTTAATAGACAGGAAAAAATTTTACAAGATCAATTTTTAGAGAAAAAGTATGACCCAGTCGCTCTGAACAAACAGTTACAGGAAGTTGACACTTTTAAAAGGGATTTTAGAATATAAAAATACAAATAATAATATAATTAGCACAAACAAAAGTTTTAATCAAAAAGTGTAATTCTTTATTTATACCACAATCAGACATGAGATAATCAGCACAATGAACATCCAAATAGGCACAAATGCGCATGTAAGGTGATACAAGGGTGACTTTTCCGACTATGGTTGTTCTTTGGTTTTATACAGCATTCATCAGCTGTTTTGGTGGCAGTAGGTGGACCGGTGAGGCCTAAGCCTAGACTAGTCAAGACAGCGTTCTTCTCTGATGCGTCAGACACCCTATGCTTTTCATTGTGGTACTGGATGAGAAGGGACATCGATAATTCACACCATGTGTAGAGAGAGTGGACATTAGGGCTTGGAGAGACTTCTTAGGGTCGTGCGGGAGCGGTTTGAGAAGAACGTAAGTTTAATTCCTTCTTATGGGTACGGGGTTTTCCCTCTAGTAGCGTTAAGGAAGGCAGGTTTGTGTTGCCCGTTTTGGAACTTGACCAGGAGGTCGCTTGTGGCCTAAGCCTTGGTGGGCTAAAGCTTAGGAAGGCGAAACATGCCATCTAGTAACATGCCTCTCACTTGTTTTGGGGGCAGTAGAGCCATTAACAGACTGTGGAGGAAATGTGGTAGCTCTGTTGCTGTAACGCCATCCGACAATCACTTGATCTTCAGATGCTTCCATCTCCTTTTATCTTACAGGGCTGCCAGCTGATGGGTTAGAGTAGTGTTGGCAGATGTAAAGTCACTGACCTATTTCTCTAGTTCTGACAGTTTGGTGGTATCGCCACCAAGCTCTGCTAGCGTTGGGAGTGCCCCTTAGAATGCCCGATTCCAAGCTATTAGGTGCTGCACAGACAGAGTCCCTGCAACTGCTCGGGTCGAAAGCTAGCTCTGCCCCCTCATAGTTTAACAGCATATTTAAACATATCAAACACATTTTCAATAAATTTTGGTATTATTAAAGACGGATAGTGATCGTACTAATATTATTGGAGATGCTAAAAATATTAAAAATGATTTAGTTAGGAGTTTTATTAGACCTAAAAAGACCTAGAAACATGGAATGTGACGGCAGATAAGAAACATTTGGCCCATCTAGTCTGCCCAATTTTCTAAATACTTTCTGTGGTGAAACCGACCTCGCCACTGGGCATTGGAGAAGACTGATTGCCAGCCTCCTGCCATGTGAATATGGCCCCTGGGATGTATTGCCCTTTAAAGACATGATTTGGGCATAATGGATTTGTGTTGTGCTGCTGCTTTCCCTTTAAGAACCATCTGGGGACATACTGTGGAGTTACTGGGTGGCCACCATTTCCTGTATCAGAGGCACATGGTGAGAACAATGGATGGCGGCCATTTTAACTCACAGACACTGTTTGGACTTTTCAACACGGTGCCATCTCGCCAGTATTTGGTGCACAGAGACATCGTGCAGTGGTTTTGGACTATACAGCAGGGGACACATTATACAGTGATTGTTTTTCATTTAGCCTGCATATGTTCTGCAGAATCTGCATTAAACTGTATCTTCCAAAGTACTGAACGGATCTGGGTGAATTTCGGATATGTGGTTCACCCAGATCCCCCGGTTTTTATGGGGTTATTGCATGTTTTGGGGTCCCTGTGATGTGTTTTATGAAACTGTATTTCTCTGTCTGTGATAATTAGATTACCCATTGTGTAAGGTAATTGTATTACAGGCAGAGGGGAGGATTTTGTGTGGGAGTGTCTGTGTGTATTGTACAGATTGATTGGTTGTTCTGTAAAACCCTGTGGGCAGTACTAAGTTTGTGGATTGGGAATAAAAGAGGCTGTATGTGCCAGTACAGTCAGTTCCTGCTTAACCCTCAAAGTGAAGTGTCGTCTCATTATTGGGGGAGGATTTATTGTATGCTGTTCCAGTTTGACTGCTAGGAGTGTAAACCTATTCGCATGGTTTTTCCTATTCGGCTGTATACAACATTCATATGCTTGAGAGCATTCATATGCTTCTCCGGTTCAGTGGTTGTGGTGTCTGCTGCAGTACTTGGAGTCCTCAGGAAGCGCTAGGAGCATCCTTCAACGGAGGTACCCAGTCGGGGTGCCAGGTGATCCGTTACACTTTCATTAGTCCCTAGCCCTATCTTATAGTTAGGATAGCCTTATGCCAATCCCGCGCATGTTTAAACTCTGTTATACATAGAAACATAGAATGTGACGGCAGATAAGAACCATTCGGCCCATCTAGTCTGCCCAATTTTCTAAATACTTTCATTAGTCCCTAGCCTTATCTTATAGTTAGGATAGCCTTATGCCTATCCCACACATGCTTAAACTCCTTTACTGTGTTAACCTCTACCACTTCAGCTGGAAGGCTATTCCATGCATCCACTACCCTCTCAGTAAAGTAATACTTCCTGATATTATTTTTAAACCTTTGTCCCTCTAATTTAAGACTATGTCCTCTTGTTGTGGTAGTTTTTCTTCTTTTTAAATATAGTCTCCTCCTTTACTGTGTTGATTCCCTTTATATATTTAAATGTTTCTATCATATCCCCCCTGTCTCGTCTTTCCTCCAAGCTATACATGTTAAGATCCTTTAACCTTTCCTGGTAAGTTTTATCCCGCAATCCATGAACCAGTTTAGTAGCCCTTCTCTGAACCCTCTCTAAGGTATCAATATCCTTCTGAAGATACGGTCTCCAGTACTGTGTACAATACTCCAAGTGAGGTCTCACCAGTGTTCTGTATAATGGCATGAGCACTTCCCTCTTTCTACTGCTAATACCTCTCCCTATACAACCAAGCATTCTGCTAGCATTTTGCTGCTGCTCTATTACATTGTCTGCCTACCTTTAAGTCATCAGAAATAATCACCCCTAAATCCCTTTCCTCATATGTTGAGGTTAGAACTCTATCAAATATTCTGTACTCTGCCCTTGGGTTTTTACGTCCAAGATGCATTATCTTGCACTTATCCACATTAAATGTCAGTTGCCACAATTCTGACCATTTTTCTAGTTTACCTAAATCATTTGCCATTTGGCTTATCCCTCCTGGAACATCAACCCTGTTACATATCTTAGTATCATCAGCAAAAAGACATACCTTACCATCAAGACCTTCTGCAATATCACTAATAAAAATATTAAAGAGAATGGGTCCAAGTACAGGTACCCCACTGGTGACAAGTCCAAGCTTCGAATATATTCCATTAACTACAACCCTCTGTTGCCTGTTACTCAGCCACTGCTTTACCAATTCAACAATATTTGAATCCAAACTTAAAGATTGCAGTTTATTGATAAGCCTTCTATGTGCAACAGTGTCAAAAGCCTTACTGAAATCTAGGTAAGCAATGTCTACTGCACCACCCTGATCTATAATTTTAGTTACCCAATCAAAAAAATCAATAAGATTAGTTTGGCATGATCTCCCTGAAGTAAACCCATGTTGTCTCTGATCTTGAAATCCATGTGTTTTTAGATGTTCATCAATCCTATCCTTTAACATGGTTTCCATCACTTTCCCCACTACTGAAGTAAGGCTTACTGGCCTATAGTTGCCCGACTCCTCCCTATTACCTTTCTTGTAAATGGGCACAACATTCGCTAACTTCCAATCTTCTGGGACTACTCCTGTTAACAATGATTGGTTAAATAAATCTGTTAATGGTTTTGCTAGTACACCACTAAGCTCTTTTAATAGCTTTGGGTGTATTCCATCAGGTCCCATTGACTTATTTGTCTTTACTTTTGACAGTTGAAATAGAACCTCTTCCTCTGTAAACTCACGTGTAATAAATGACTCATTTATCCTTTTTCTCAACTGAGGTCCCTTTCCTTCATTTTCTTCTGTAAGTACAGAACAAAAATATTCATTGAGGCATTGGAAGGCTATTCCATGCATCCACTACCCTCTCAGTAAAGTAATACTTCCGGATATTGTTTTTAAACCTTTGCCCCTCTAATTTAAGACTATGTCCTCTTGTTGTGGTAGTAATTCATCTTTTAAATATAGTCTCCTCCTTTACTATATTGATTGCTGTAGCGGACCACGGGTAACCCGACTGGTTACCTCCGCTATTTCCCTTCCTTCAGCCGTTCAGGAACCCTAACAACAAGCAGGCATCCATTTTCCCCCCAGTAACTAGACAAAACTCAGTCCTGGAGGTTACAGCCAGGGTTCCGTCACACAGCTCCCCCTTAACCACTAGCCGGCATCGGCTACGGATCGGCTTGTGGATGTCCGGGGAAGGGCTCACAGATCACTCCTCCTCGTTGGCGGCGTAGCTCACCTCTCTGGGTAGTTGCTTCCTGCCGAGTTAAGCTACTGGCGTGTGCTCCGCCATCGTCCCCAACCTGGCTCAGCACCGCTCCTAATCCCAACATAGAAGCATCTGTGTGGATGAGAAAACGTTTGCGGGAATGAGGAGCAGCCAGGACAGGGGCATTTACCATTTACAGGGTGTTCTTAAGGGCTTGGAATGCCTGCTCACACTCCAGGGCCCAGTTAACCTGTCTGGGTAGGTTCTTTCGGGTCAGGTCAGTGAGGGGCTTGGCTATGGCACTGTAATTGGGGACAAATTTTCTATAGTATCCAGCGGTTCCTAGCAAGGCCAGCACCTGGGTCTTAGTGTGGGGATGCACCAGGCACCAGGTGAGTGAGCTCCTCCAGCCGGTCCCTAAACTCCAGCACATATGGGACGATAGGGGTCCCTTCCTGCTTCCCCTTTCACTCCCTGTGCTCCCTGACAAGGTAGTGAAAGGGGGAGAACCCTGTGGATTCCTGAGGCACCTCCTGATAAGCGAACAGGAGATGCGGCAAGAATCTTTCCCAATCCTTGTGAGTCGCGGCATGAGTACCGAGCATCTGCTTTAGCATGCCATTGAAGCGCTCGCACAGGCCATTGGTCTGGGGGTGGTATGGGGAACTCAGGATCGGTTTAATGCCACATAACTTCCACAGCTGGTGGTTTACCTCAGCAGTAAACTGGATGTCCTGATCCGAGACAATCTCCTGGGGGAAATCCGATCCGGGAGAATACTCACATCAGAGCTTCAGCTACAGTCTCTGCCTGAATATTGCTCAGGGCGACTGCCTCAGGGTACCGTGTCGCGTAGTCTACAATGGTCAGAATGTATTTCTTCCCAGAGGGACTAGGTTTAGCCAGGGGACCTATGATATCAAAAGCTACTCTGCCGAAGGGGTCTTCAATGATGGGTAGGGGATGGAGCGTGGCCTTGTGCCGGTCGCCCCGCTTCCCCACCCTCTGGCAGACATCGCAGGACCGACGGTACCGCTTCCCGTACTGGGAGATGCCTGGCCAGAAGAGACTTTGGGTGAGTCGGGCATGTGTCTGGCCCTGTCCCAAATGCCCTGCCAGGGGGATATCATAAGCTATCTTCAGTAGCTCCTTTCGATACTTCCTGGGTACCACCAACTGTTTGGTGGTGGTAGGAGCGGTCTCTGATTTTCCTTTCTCTACCAGGCAATACAGTAAACCCTTTTCCCACGTGGACCACTCATTATCCAAACCAGCTCAACTAGAGGCCATCTGATTTCTGCAGGACTTCAGGGAAGGGTCGGACACTACCTGCCTCCCAAACTCGTCAGGGGTATCCAGGATAAGCGTGTCAGAGTAGGAGAAGGGCCACGGGGAAGAGGACCATCTCACCATTGCCACCAAATGGGGGACTGGCATGGGGTTGTGTACTCCTTGGATGGCTATGGGAAATTGGGGCATGTGTGTGTGCCTACCTGAGCCTCGGAGTGTGAGTTGCCCTGGCTGGTGCGGGCTTGCTGCCGGGTAGTCACTGGATAGGCCTCCTCAGGTTCCTTGCCCAGCAACACATCGGCGGGTAGGTTGTTCATGAGCCTGACCTCCACAATTCGGTTCCCAGCGACCCAATCGAGATGGACCCGGGTTGTGGGCAGGCGGTGAACTCTTTACCCCGCTACTCAGACAAGAAATGGTTCCTCCGGTCTGATCCTTCTCTGCGACGAGCTGGTGCTGCACAAAGGTCAACATGGCTCAGGAATCTCGCAGACCCTGCATCTGCGTCCATTCAGCTGGACCAGCTGTTGGTGAGGGGCCTGGTTATCTGTGGCAGCCTGTATGGGGTCTGCCTCATGCAGGACACGGACCGGCTGCTCGGCTTGGGGCCCCTGGGGTTGGTGCGGGAGCCAGAGTGGCTGCAGGGGAGGTGAACTGGGGTGACAGGCGTATGGGGGGTCGCGTACTCATCTGCTTTTTGTGCTGCTTCCGTTAGGGTCTTAGGCTGTCGGTCTCTTACCCAATCTTGAATCTCTGTGGGTAGCCCGTAGTAGAACTGTTCCAACAGGAACAGCTGCAGCACTTCCTCGGGGGTCTTCGCCTGCTGGGACTGCACCCACCTTGTTCAGGTGGCAAGCCCACTCAGCGTAGTTCTGCAGGTCCTCCTCGGGCACGTGAGGTTCCCGGCCAGGAGGGGAATCCGCTCTGCTGAGGCAATCTCACTTAACAGGCAGAGGCCCTCAAAGTCCTGCAAAAAGTCATCTATGCCTTCTTCCGCCTCTTTTTGAAGGCTTGGTAGGGTACTTTGGGCTAGGGTTCTGGGATGGCCGGACCCCCTGGGACTTCCCCAGCCCACTGATCAGCGCTGGATGCGGGGTTCGCCCATGCCCTCTGCGCCAAAATATAGGCTTGCGCCTCGGCAAAGATCTGGGTCATGATCTCCACAGAGGGCCTCTCACTGTAGTATGCCAAGCGACGATCCATTTCCTTGTCCAGGGCATCTTTCTCACCCCTTTTGCGGACGTCGATATCGTCTTTACCGTGTACGGATGTGGGGCTATATAATTGAGTGAGTCCGCAGCGGCCGGCGTGCACAAACCAGGCATCATGGCAGAAGACCACCAAGCTGCACTCCCCTCGATCTTCGGAAGGTAATTATCTCAGTTTCTGCCACATCGATACGAAGGATACGTGACACACTGGTTCCGCACGGCTGGGAAGGACCATTTCACCGTTGCCACCAAATGTAGCGGACCACAGGTAACCCGACCGGTTACCTTAGCTATTTCCCTTCCTTCAGCATTCACGGATGGTGAAATGGATATTGACAGTTATTTGCAGGACTCTGTGCAACAGTGTGCTTTGGAGGGGCTAGAAAAGACTAATTGGGCTGCGGTTCTCAGCAGCAAACTCTCCGGACTGGCAGCCGAGGCTTATAGAGCGGTACCTCGTGAGGAAATACAGAACTATGAAAAGGTGAAGGAGACATTGTTGGCCAGATATGCGTCCACACGAGGGGGGTAACGGAAAAAAATTTCAGGGCCTCAGAAAAGGAGGAAGGGACTCCTATGCCAAATGGGCATTCCGCCTGCACGATGCTGCACGAAATTGGATGCAGGGCTGCCGGGCAACTTCGCTGAAGGATGCGTTACAGCTATTAATACTGGAGCAGTTCTTTGATCACACTCCAACCGAGATCAGAGACTGGGTGAGAGACTGTAAACCAAAGACAGTGGAGGAAGCAGCTAAATTGGCGGACGAGTACCAGGACGGCAGGCGACCCACTTTCAGGCCCTCATACCAAGTACAGTCCACACCACCACCACCCAGACCAGCTCCTTTACACCCAGCACCTGCTCCAGCACCCATAAGGCGCCCTCCCTTTGTATGCCACAATTGTCAGCAGCCAGGGCATGTGAAAAACAACTGCCCTAATCGGAACAGAGGAGGTTGGGAAAGATCAGCACCCCAACACACCAGGGCAGCCATCCATTGTTTCCACCAGGAGGCCCCCAGTGACACAGACCCCAGCGAGGAGCAGTGGACAACTCTACACGAGACAAATCCAGTCCAGGCTGCAGGCGACAACAGAGAGCATCGCCAGTGGGTCACCGTCGACGGAACAGATGCACAGGGCCTGAGAGACACAAATGCCACAAGGTCAAAACCCGCACCCACAAGACAGTAAGCGTAAGGGTGGCAGCCATCCATAAACTTCCCACTGCCCGGGTGCACCTCAACTGGGGCTCGAGAGACAAACATCTGGAGGTGGGCATAATGAAAGAGCTACCAGCCGAGGTGTTATTGGGGAATGACCTGGGCTGCCTAACTTCCCAGCTCACACTCTACCCAGCAGAATCATATCCAGTGACCACCAGATCGCAAGCACGCGGGGGGGGGGGGCAGCGCACTCCGAGGAACCTCAGGTCGCCCGCTTTCCCACCCTCTGGCAAACATCGCAGTACCGCTTCCCGTCCTGGGAGATGCCTGGCCAGAAGAGACTTTGGGTGAGTCCCTTAACCGAAATCCCCCCCACAAGACTTTGAACAAGAACAGAGGGCCGATCCCACACTAGAGGGATATAGGAAAGAGGCAGTGTCCCCCGAGGAGATATAGCGCAGGAGAGATTTGAGTGGAACAAATCTTATACCGGGTAACCAGGAGAACATTAAGTGGGGCTGCGCAGATAGCAAAAAGGCAGTTGGTAGCGCCCCGTAAATTTAGGGCAGAGCTACTCAAGCTCAGCCATGATATTCCCCTAGCGGGACATCTGGGAGTTCCAAAAGACTAAGGACCAGTTAACCCAGACCTTCTTCTGGCCGGGGATTACACGGGATCTTTAGGATTACTGCAGGACGTGTTACACCTGACAAAAGGAAAAGGGGTAATCGCCAGAAGGCCAGGTTACACCCTTTACCCATTATCGAGGAAACCTTCCACCGGGTAGCGGTAGACTTGATAGGCCCCCTCAGTAAGCCCATCACCTCGGGGGAATAGCTATATCCTCACGGTGGTAGATTATGCTACTAGGTACCCTAAGGCTCTTTATAATTTAGAGGCAGAGACTGTGGCCGAGGTTCTGGTAATATATTTTAATAGAGTGGGTTTTCCTAGGAAGATTTTGTCTGATCAGGGGACTCAATTTACCACAACTGTGACCCAACAATTATGGCAGAGTTGCAGAGTTTGCTGCTGTTCAGCTCTCCCTACCATCCCCAGACGAATGCACTCTGTGAAAGTTTTAACGGCACGCTCAAGCAGATGCTTAAGACGTTCACAGCCTCCTGTCGGAACTGGGAAAGATGTCTTCCCCATCTCCTGCTTGTCTACCGCGATGTGCCTCAGGCGTCTACCGGGTTCTCCCCCTTCAAACTCCTTTACGGGCAAAAGTCCGGGGACCCCTAGACTTCATACGGGAGCACTGGAAGGGTAACACAGGAGACGGAGGAGTACCTATTGTACCCTATGTTCTGGGTTTAAAGGGCCTCTTGTAGACGCTCAATGACTCCGTTCGGTAGAAACTGCAGGCGGCCCAGCGGCGCCAGAAGAGGTGGTACGACAGGGACACCTTAGATAGGATTCTAGAAGTAGAACAGAAGGTATTGGCGCTGTAGCTGTCTAAGAAAGACAAGCTTCAGGCCGCCTGGCAGGGACCTTTCCGGGTAGTGGAGCGTATAAGCGACACTACCTACATAGTAAGAAAATGTTCAGATGAAAGGATATAGAGAGCCTTTCATGTGAACATGCTCAAGCCCTACTTTGAGCGGGTGGAAAACGTAGTGGCAGTATGTGCCTCTTCAATTGAAGATAGTGAGGGCCTTCCCCTACCTGACTTGCTCGCATACTCCTCCAGTAGGATAGAACAAGTCAGACTAGGTGAAAAATTAAACCCACTAGAGAAGACTGATGCCTCTCAGCTGCTCCAGAGATACAGGGAGATGTTCTCCGCCATACCCGGGTACACCACCGCTGCGGTCCACTGAGTTGAGACCCAGGGAGAAACCCCGCTATGGCAACAACCATACCGTAAAATGGAATGTTAACTGGAACAAAAAGCTGCTCATGTTCACAAGCTTCTGATGACGGCTTTTTGAATACACCGAAACGTGCGTCTAGCGCTTTATTTTTCTTTAATCACTGCACTGAGTAGCACATTTTTATTATTTATTTTTGTTACCACTTTGGTTATTGATTTTTAGGTATTTATTTATTACTTTAGTAGGGAGAGTTGGTTCAGGTAGACACTAGTGATTAGACCACAGTGTCGAGGTAACTCTTAGGGTGAATTAAGAGATTTTTTCTTTGAGGCTTTTCATCTGCATTTAGACCAGATTATCTGGTCCCCTGTTCTCTGTGGACCCTGTGCCTTTTCCCTCACCCTAACCTCGTTTACACTACCTTCCTGTCAGTCGAACACTAGGAAAACTGGAACTTCGATGGAATTTAGTACTCCAGATACTGGATCCCTCGGGCACCATTTAGTAGATCTCCCCTTTTTTCAAGTTATACTTTTTGTTTGCATATCCCTTTTTATCCTTAGATTGATTAAAGGTAAGGCACCACTTCCTTATTTCTTATACCAGTGGAGCTCTCCTGATATTAGTTTCCCACAATAGGAGAAAGTGATTCTATCAGTGGCGTACATACCAGGGTCGCAGGGGTCGCGGCTGCGACCGGGCCCGGCCCACCAGGGGGCCCGGCCGCCCCTGCGACCCGGTATGTACCCACAGGGCCAGCCTCTTCCCCTGGGGGGCCCAGGAGCCGGCCACCTCAGGGCCCCCCGAGGCTGGCCCTGCTGTCACACACACACTCCTGGGCGAGTGGCCGGTCGGGCAGGCAGGCGGGCGCACGAGGGAGCACTCAGTGCTTCCTCTTCAGCTCCCTCGCGCACCGCACTGGATAACGGAGCCGGAAGATGACGTCATCTTCCGCTCCGGCATCCCTACGCGGTGCGCGAGGGAGCTGAAGAGGAAGCACTAAGTGGTCCCTCGCGCGCCCGCCTGCCCGACCGGCCACCCGCCCAGGAGCCCAGCAGCACCACTGGACCCCAGGGAATCCCCCCAGCACTCCAAAAAGGTAAGGAGGCTGGGGGGATTACATTTTTTAAAAAAAACGTGTTAGAATGAGTGTTAGTGTTAGAGTGAGTGTTAGAGTGAGTGTTAGAGTGAGTGTTAGTGTGAGTGTTAGTGTGAGTGTTAGTGTGAGTGTTAGTGTGAGTGTTAGTGTGAGTGTTAGTGTGAGTGTGTGTGTCTTAGTGAGTCTGTTTGATGTCTGTTAGTGAGAGTGTGTTTGTCAATGAGAGTGTATGTTTTGTAAGTGAGTGTGTGAGTGTGTATGTATGTCTGTCGCTGAGTGTGTCTCTGTCAGTAAATGTGTGTGTCTGTTAGCTAGTGTGTATGCGCCTGTAAGTGAGAGTGTGTGTGTCTTCAGCACTTACCTTTCTCCAGCGCCGGACTCCCTTGGCGCTGGGGATCCCTCAGCCTCTCAGCTCCGAATGAGACCGCGCACACATTCAAACCGCCCATAGGAAAGCATTACTCAATGCTTTCCTATGGACGTTCAGTGTGCTCCTCTAGCGGCTGTCAGTGAAACAGCCACTAGAGGCTGGATTAACCCTCAGTGAAACATAGCAGTTTCTCTGAAACTGCTATGTTTTCAGCTGCAGGGTTAAAAGTAGAGGGACCTGACACCCAGACCACTTCATTGAGCTGATGTGATCTGGGTGTCTGTAGTGGTCCTTTAAAGGACCACTATAGTGCCAAGAAAACATACTTGTTTTCCTGGCACTGTAGTGCCCTGAGGGTGCCCCCACCCTCAGGAACCCCCTCCCGCCCGGCTCTGGAAAGTTTCTCTGAAACTGCTATGTTTATGAAAAAATGGGTTAACCCTAGCTGGACCTGGCACCCAGACCACTTCATTAAGCTGAAGTGGTCTGGGTGCCTAGAGTGGTCCTTTAAGTATTACTTGTGTGCATCCACTGATGGCTGGTAGGGGAGGCTGAAACACAGGAAGATGGCTGTAAGGGAGGCTAAAACACAGGAAGATGGCTATAAGGGAGGCTGAAACAAGGGAAGATGGCTGTAAGGGAGGCTGGAATACAGGAAGATGGCTGGTAGGGGAGGCTGTGTAACGGACCGTTTCAGCACACAAGGGGTTAAAAAACTTTTAGGCAATCGTCCCCTTTCAGAGATGCAGGCACAGCTACTGCAGAACACCAAACTCCCAAACAGGATACCAAGTAGCACTCCAAATTCCAGAACTGGAACCTCACGAATAGCTGCTAGCAGCTGAATAGGAAAAGCACCCAAGCAGCTTACACTCCTGGCAATTAGTCTCTAACAGCATACAGTAAATCCCCCCAAGAACGAGACAAGGCTCCGTGTTGAGGGTCAAGCAGTGAACAGACAGAGCTGTGGGTTTATTGTGCTTATGTACACATTCTTACACATTAGTACCACCCACAGGGTTTTGGAACACAACCAATAAACACATACATTACACTCAGACACTCCCACACAAAATCCTCCCCTCTGCCGGTAATACAATTACCTTACACAATGGGTAATTTAATTAGCACAAGCAGAGAAATACAATTTTTCCACATTATTCATAATTTGAAAAGTATGCATCACATTCACATAAATTTACATTTTCAGAATCAGCATACTCCAAATACAAACATACGTCAAAATCATACATATTGGTCCAGTGGTTCAAAAGATAGATCGTAGTCCTTTGTGACCACAGGAAGCATGGCTTTTCTGCCCAAAACCAGTTCCACAGAGTCTTCTATCCTGGAGATAATTAGAAGTAATCCAGTTATCTCCAAAGACAGAGGCAAAACTCCATTGAACACATGGCAGCAAAAAGACAGTAAAATACAATAAAATACACAAGGTTACATTTATGACATAAAATACAGACATGCAACATATGCCCAGATAGCTAAGGTCAGAGCGCACAATACTGAATGGCGCTCAGACCACAAACACATACAGTTCAATTGCCATGGAGCCAAAGTCTTTCCCATAGTCTTTCATTATACGAATGGGCTCCATGGCATAGCTATCTGGGGTATCACTGCTCAAACAGGGCAAGCACCAAATGACCCGGCTTTCTTGTCTTTGCAGGGAAAAATCAAGCCTTTTAACATGGGGCCATAATCCAAAGGCAACAGGCGAGCAACCAGGCTTCTCCAATGCAATGTGGCGAGATTGCTCTCGTCACATCTCTCCCCTTTTCCAAACAGACTAACAGGGTATCTGACCTCCTGCCGGTCAGTGCCCTTGTTAGTCCAGCAGCCCACCCACAAAACACAATCAACAGCACAGCCCACCCACAATAAATGGTTACTACACCTGGGTAGAGGAGAAGCTTGTCCATGTCCAGGTGTCTCACCACGGCTGTGCTGGGTACGGGTATGCTGACTTGGTGGGTTGCTGCGTGGGCAGAGACCAGCGGTACTCTGCCCTGTTGCCAGCGCTACTGGGAGGGTAGCCTGGTTGAAGCCTGGTTGTTGAAGGGGGAGACCGACTGTCTCCCCTTTAGATACACAGCCCTGCTGCTGGAGACCGACTGTCTCCCCTTTGGCTACACAGCCCTGTTGCTGGGGGGCAGAACCGACCGTCCCTACCCCCTGTGCTGGACGTGCAGAGACCACGGTCCCATCTGCACAGTTGTGGGGCTTACTGTCTCCCCCGGGTACATTAAGCTGCCGCTGGGGAGAGGGGGTAACAAGCTCCTCTCCCATATATACTTCCAGCCGGGGAGGGAGACCGACTGTCTCTGCTCCCAATACAGAGTCCTGCTGCTGGGGAAAGGAGACTGGGCTCTCTATTCCCGGTAGGACACTCTGCCGCTGGGGAATGGAGACTGGGCTCCCAATTCCCAATAAATCATTCTGCCACTGGGGAATGGAGACTGGGCTCCCAATTCCCAATAAATCATTCTGCCACTGGGGAATGGAGACTGGGCTCCCAATTCCCTGCTGTATCTCCCGCTGGGGAATGTAGACTGGGCTCCCAATTCCCAATAACTCATACTGCCGCTGGGGAATGGAGACTGGGCTCCCAATTCCCTGCAATTCATTCTGCTGCTGGGGGACAGGAGCAACTATCTCTGTCCCCTGTAACTCAGCCTGCCGCTGGGGAATGGAGACTGGGCTCCCAATTCCCTGCAATTCACACTGCCGCTGGGGATCTGAGCCGACTGCCCAGCATCCCTGTAGCTCATCCTGCCGCTGGGGAGGGAGGACGCTGCTCTCCTCTCCCTGCAAGGAACACTACTGCTGGGGGACAGGACCACCTGTCTCTGCCCCCTGTAACTCAGCCTGCCGCTGGGGAATGGAGCTCGGGCTCCCAATTCCCTGCAATATCTCCCGCTGGGGAATGGAGCTCGGGCTCCCAATTCCCTGCAATATCTCCCGCTGGGGAATGGAGCTCGGGCTCCCAATTCCCTGCAGTACCGGTGGAGAGACCTCGGTCCCCTCTCCACCTGCCGCCTGGGGTTCCTCCCAGTAAATTTCAACAATATCTTCCCAGCTGAATGGGTCTGGAACTGGATCTGTCACCTTGCTGTCCTGCGGAGCCTTCCCAATGGAGTGGAAGAGATCTCGGTAGTCCTGCTCCAGTTCCCACTCCAGGGTTGCTAGGTGAGCCAGGTCTTGCTCTACCTCATGGGGGTCATCCCAGTCATGCCTAGCCTCCCTCTCGTAGAAAATGTCCTGAAGTCTGGTGTGCGCAGGGCTCCCGAAGTCAGGCTCTGCAAAGGACTACCATAACAAGCCAGGACCATCAAACTCCTCTCCCTCTGGCTTGTCATGCTCGGCTGTCCAGGGTATATACTGTGCCATATACCACCAGAGCGCCTGGTAGGCATCCTCCAGCCATAGCTCCTGCCATACCCTGTGCTCTAGTTCCTTCACCCATTCCTCCAGGGGCTGCTCTCCCAGGAAGGGCATCCGCAGGGCCACTTGCTTCTGCAACCGCTGCTCTTCACTGGGGAGACTCTCACCCCGCTGGTATTGTACATTATCCAGGGCCTGGTACCAGATGCCTTTCTTTAATGCATCCTGGCCATCCAGGTCCTCCTCCTCGTATAACACTGCTGGTTCCATTCTGCTGCTTTTAGGGTCGCTGTACTGGGACATGCGTTGCCCCCAACTTGTAAATCCACGGAATGGTGTCTCCTGTAGCTGTCCTTCTGGCTGTGGGAACGATCCCACCGCTGCCACCAATTGTAACGGACCGTTTCAGCACACAAGGGGTTAAAACCGTTTAGGCGATCGTCCCCTTCCCAGAGATGCAGGCACAGCTACTGCAGAACACCAATCCGCCGAACAGGAAACCATACGAATGCTGTAAACAGACAAATAGGAAAAACCATACGAATAGGTTTACACTCCTAGCAGTCAAACTGGAACAGCATACAATAAATCCCCACAAGAACGAGACAAAGCTCCGTGTTGAGGGTCAAGCAGTGAACAGTCAGAGCTGTGGGTTTATTGTGCTTATGTACACATTCTTACACATTAGTACCACCCACAGGGTTTTGGAACACAACCAATAAACACATACAATACACTCAGACACTCCCACACAAATTCCTCCCCTCTGCATGTGATTCAATTACCTTACACAATGGGTACTGTAATTTAGCACATGCAGAGAAATACAATTTTTCCACATTATTCATAACTTGAAAAGTATGCATCACATTCACATACAATTTACAGAATCAGCATACTCCAAATACAAACATACATCAAAATCATACAAATTGGTCCAGTGGTTCAAAAGATAGATCGTGGTCCTTTGTGACCACAGGAAGCATGGCTTTTCTGCCCAAAACCAGTTCCACAGAGTCTTCTATCCTGGAGATAATTGTGCAGTAATCCAATTATCTCCAAAGACAGAGGCAAAACTCCATTGAACACATGGCAGCAAAAAGACAGTAAAATACAATAAAATACACAAGGTTACATTTATGACATAAAATACAGACATACAACATATGCCCAGATAGCTTAGGTCTGAGCGCACATTATTACTGAATGGCGCTCAGAGCACACACATACAGTTCAATTGCCATGGAGCCAAAGTCTTTCCCATAGTCTTTCATTATACGAATGGGCTCCATGGCATAGCTATCTGGGGTATCACTACTCAAACAGGGCAAGCACCAAATGACCCGGCTTTCTTGTCTTTGCAGGGGAAAATCAAGCCTTTTAACATGGGGCCATAATCCAAAGGCAACAGGCGAGCAACCAGGCTTCTCCAATGCAATGTGGCGAGATTGCTCTCGTCACAGGCTGGAATACAGGAAGATGGCTGGTAGGGGAGGCTGGAATACAGGAAGATGACTGGTAGGGGAGGCTGGAATACAGGAAGAAAGCTAGTAGGGGAGGCTGGAATACAGGAAGATGGCTGGAGGGGAGGCTGGAATACAGGAAGATGGCTGGAAGGGAGGCTGGAATACAGGAAGAAGGCTGGAATACAGGAAGATGGCTGGTAGGGGAGCCTGGAATACAGGAAGATGGCTGTAAGGGAGGCTGGAATACAGGAAGATGGCTGGTAGCAGAGGCTGGAATACAGGAAGATGGCTGGTAGGGGTGGCTGACATACAGGAAGATGGCTGGTAGGGGAGGCTGGAATACAGGAAAATGGCTGGTAGGGGAGACTGGAATACAGGAAGAAGGCTGGTAGGGGAGGCTGGAATTCAGAAAGATGGCTGGTAGGAAAAGCTGGAATACAGGAAGATGGCTGGTAGGTGAGGCTTGAGCGCACAATACTCCACTGTTTTTTTGCTTAGGGTTCAGATATATTTGTAGGTGATTAGTGTAATATCTTCTTTAACATACCCACTTGTCCATTATAGTTAGAGCATGTCTGGAACCCAAAGCAAAGCTACCAGATGGCTAGTAGGGGAGGCTGAAACACAGGAAGATGGCTGAAAGGGAGGCTGAAACACAGGAAGATGGCTGGTAGGGGAGACTGGAATACAGGAAGATGGCTGGTAGGAGAGGCAGGAATACAGGAAGAAGGCTGGTAGGAGAGGCAGGAATACAGGAAGAAGGCTGGTAGAAGAGGCTGGAATACAGGATGATGGCTTTAAGGGAGGCTGGAATACAGGAAGAAGGCTGTTAGAAGAGGTTGGAATACAGGAAGATGGCTGGTAGGGGAGACTGGAATACAGGAAGAAGGCTGGTAGGGGAGGCTAGAATATAGAAAGATGGCTGGTAGGGGAGGCTGGAATACAGGAAGATGGCTGGTAGGGGAGGCTGGAATACAGGAAGATGGCTGGTAGGGGAGGCTGAAACACAGGAAGATGGCTGTAAGGGAGGCTAAAACATAGGAAGATGGCTGTAAGGGAGGATGAAATACGGGAAGGTGGCTGTAAGGGAGGCTGAAGCAAGGGAAGAAGGGTGGTAGGAGAGGCTGGAATACAGGAAGATGGCTGGTAAGGGAGGCTGGAATACAGGAAGATGGCTGGTAAGGGAGGCTGGAATACAGGAAGATGGCTGGTAAGGGAGGCTGGAATACAGGAAGATGGCTGGTAAGGGAGGCTGGAATACAGGAAGATGGCTGGTAAGGGAGGCTGGAATACAGGAAGATGGCTGGTAAGGGAGGCTGGAATACAGGAAGATGGCTGTAAGGGAGGCTGGAATACAGGAAGATGGCTGTAAGGGAGGCTGAAACACAGGAAGATGGCTGAAAGGGAGGCTGAAACACAGGAAGATGGCTGAAAGGGAGGCTGAAACACAGGAAGATGGCTGAAAGGGAGGCTGAAACACAGGAAGATGGCTGGTAGGAGAGGCTGGAATACAGGAAGATGACTGTAAGGGAGGCTGGAATACAGGAAGATGGCTGTAAGGAAGGCTGGAATACAGGAAGATGACTGTAAGGGAGGCTGGAATACATGAAGATGGCTGATAGGAGAGGCTGGAATACAAGAAAATTGCTGCAAGGGAGGCTGGAATACAGGAAGAAGGCTGATAGAAGAGGCTGGAATAAAGGAAGAAGGCTGGTAGAAGATGCTGGAATACAGGAAGATGGTTGGTAGGGAAGGCTAAAACACGGGAAGATGGCTGTAAGGGAGGCTGAAATGCAGGAAATGGCTGTAAGGGAAGCTGAAACACAGGAAGATGGCTGGCAGTGGAGGCTAAAATACAGGAAGGATAGCTGTAAGGAAGGCTAGCATAAGGATAAGAGACAAACGGGGAGAGGGTCTGTGAGAGAGACAGAACAATGAGAACTGAAAAAAATTGTCTTGACCAAAGGAGAACAATAAAGACGCTTTACCACAGAAAGATAGTGGAAGTGGAAACAGAAGTAGATAGAGAAACAAAGCCACCAAAGAATCTCTCTTACCGTTTAACTTGTAAAAGGGTGTCTGATGGTCTGACTGTGAGCAGCCTTTCTGTGTCATTGAGAAATTTCAGCCTCAATGTAATAGCGTCATCAATTGGGTTCCTCTCTGCTTCTCTAGGGCCTCGTTGCCTGATTGTGGGGTGAGTGTTGGGAGTGGGGTCATTATTACTCCCAGTTGGCGATTCCTCAATATTTTCTATAATGGAATTATGTTTCTCATTACACAGATGCGCGTCAGTGTCAATCGAAGACCCCACATTATCCACAGTGGGATCAATATTAGGACAGGGTTCCTCATTACTCACAGTGGAGTCATTATTAGGACAGTGTTCCCCATTTCTAAGAGAGAAAACAATAGTAGGAGAGGGTTCCCTGTTACTCAGAGTGGGGTCAGTACAAGCAGAGGGTTCATCATTATTCAGAGCGGGGTCAATAAATGGAGAGGAGTCTCCAGCACAAGTAGAGGGTTTCTTAGAATTCAAAGTGCGGTCAATATTAGCACAGCCTTCCTTATTACTCTGAGCAGACCCAGAACATTCAGGGATAAAATGTTGCACAGAGTCAATGTTGACATGGGAACCATCACGATTGCTTGGGATTGCACCTGCATTCACAAGAGCAACACTTATTGCTTGGTTGCTTGACGATGTATCCACCGGATCCGTCACTGGTGGAAGCCATACTGAGGGGAGACGTTCTACGGTGTGTGTTGAAATCCATGCCAAGACTAATACAAATAGCAACAATATCAGAGCAAAGAGGATTGTTACTTCATCTCCAACACCTTCTATCAAAGCCATGGACAGGTCACACTGCAGGAGAGAAATATGGGATATGTACAATATTCTCTAATATTTCAAAACATATTAGTGCAGAAACTACCCCAACTATACCAATACATTATATTAGTCAGAAACTACCCCAACTGCTCCAACTATACCAATACATTATATTAGTCAGAAAATACCCCAACTGCTCCAACTATACCAATACATTATACTAGTCAGAAACTATCCCAACTGCTCCAACTATACCAATACATATTAGTCAGAAACTACCCCAACTGCTCCGACTAAACCTATACATATTAGTCAGAAAATACCCCAAATGCTCTGACTAAACCTATACATTATATTAGTCAGAAAATACCCCAACTGCTCCGACTAAACCTATACATTACATTGGTCAGAAACTACCTCAACTGCTCTGACTAAACCTATACATTATGTTAGTCAGAAACTGCTCCAACTATTCTAGAAAATACTCTGGCAGTCTCCATCCTGTACCCTGGGAGCGGTAATAATTCTATTGATACTCTGGCAGCCTCCATGCTGTACCCTGGGTGCAGTAATAATACTATTAATACCCTGGGTGCAGTAATAATACCATTAATACTCTGGGGGCAGTAATAATACTATTAAAACCCTGGGTGCAGTAATAATACTATTAATACTTTGGCAGCCTGCATGCTGTATCCTGGGTGCCATATTAATCATATTAATACTCTGGCAGTCTGCATGCTGTACCCTGGGCGCCAGTATTATTAGTATTATTACTGCACCCAGGGTAATAATACTATTAATACTCTGGGCGCAGTAATAATGCTTTTAATACTCTGGCAGTCTCCATGCTGTACCCTGGGTGCAGTAATAATACTATTAATACCCTGGGTGCAGTAATAATACTATTAATACCCTGGCAGTCTCCATACTGTACCCTGGGTGCAGTAATAATACTATTAATACTCTGGGTGCAGTAATAATACCATTAATACCCTGGGGGCAGTAAAAATACCATTAATACTCTGGGTACAGTAATAATACCATTAATACTCTGGCGGTCTCCATGCTGTACCCTGGGTGCAGTAATAATACTATTAATACCCTGGGCGCAGTAATAATACTATTAATACCCTGGCAGTCTCCATGCTGTACCCTGGGTGCAGTAATAATACTATTAATACTCTGGGTGCAGTAATAATACCATTAATACCCTGGGGGCAGTAATAATACCATTAATACTCTGGGTGCAGTAATAATACCAGTAATACTCTGGCTGTCTCCATGCTGTACCTTGGGTGCAGTAATAATACCATTAATACCCTGGGGGCAGTAATAATACCATTAATACCCTGGGGGCAGTAATAATACAATTAATACTCTGGCAGTCTCCATGCTGTATTCTGGGTGCAGTAATAATACTATTAATACTCTGGGTGCAGTAATAATACCATTAATACCCTGGGGGCAGTAATAATATTATTAACACCCTGGGGGCAGTAATAATACTATTAACACCCTGGGGGCAGTAATAATACAATTAATACTCTGGGTGCAGTAATAATACCATTAATACCCTGGGTGCAGTAATAATACAATTAATACCCTGGGTGCAGTAATAATACCATTAATACTCTGGGGGCAGTAATAATACCATTAATACCATGGGTGCAGTAATAATACTATTAATACCCTGGTTGCAGTAATAATACCATTAATACTCTGGTTGCAGTAATAATACTATTAATACCCTGGGGGCAGTAATAATACCATTAATACACTGGGTGCAGTAATAATACCATTAATACCCTGGGTGCAGTAATAATACTATTAATACCCTGGGGGCAGTAATAATACTATTAATACCCTGGGGGCAGTAATAATACCATTAATACACTGGGTGCAGTAATAATACCATTAATACCCTGGGTGCAGTAATAATACTATTAATACCCTAGGGGCAGTAATAATACTATTAATACTCTGGGTGCAATAATAATACCATTAATACTCTGGGTGCAGTAATAATACCATTAATACTCTGGGGGCAGTAATAATACCATTAATACCTTGGGGGCAGTAATATTACCATTAATACCCTGGGTGCAGTAATAATACCATTAATACCCTGGCAGTCTCCATGCTGTACCCTGGGGGCAGTAATAATACCATTAATACCCTGGGGGCAGTAATAATACCATTAATACCCTGGGGGCAGTAATAATACCATTAATACCCTGGCAGTCTCCATGCTGTACCCTGGGGGCAGTAATAATACCATGAATACCCTGGCAGTATCCATGCTGTACCCTGGGTGCAGTAATAATACCATTAATATCCTGGCAGTCTCCATGCTGTACCCTGGGGGCAGTAATAATACCATTAATACCCTGGCAGTCTCCATGCTGTACCCTGGGGGCAGTAATAATACAATTAATAACCTGGTTGCAGTAATAATACCATTAATACCCTGGGTGCAGTAATAATACCATTAATACCCTGGGTGCAGTAATAATACCATTAATACCCTGGGGGCAGTAATAATACCATTAATACCCTGGCAGTCTCCATGCTGTACCCTGGGGGCAGTAATAATACCATTAATACCCTGGCAGTCTCCATGCTGTACCCTGGGTGCAGTAATAATACCATTAATACCCTGGCAGTCTCCATGCTGTACCCTGGGTGCAGTAATAATACCATTAATACCCTGGCAGTCTCCATGCTGTACCCTGGGGGCAGTAATAATACCATTAATACCCTGGGTGCAGTAATAATACCATTAATACCCTGGGGGCAGTAATAATACCATTAATACCCTGGGGGCAGTAATAATACCATTAATATCCTGGCGGTCTCCGTACTTATCTGGGGCGGTAATAATGCCATTAATTACCCTGGTGCGGTAATGTACCATTGATATCCTGGCGGTCTCCATGCTGTATCTGGGGACGGTAATATGTACTATTAATACCCTGGCGGTCTCATGCTGTACCCTGGGGCGGTAATATTACCATTAATACCCTGGCGGTCTCCATGCTTGTACCCTGGGAACGATAATAATACCATTAATACCCTGGTCTCCATGCTGTACCCTGGGGAGACGGTAATGTACAAATTAATACCGTGGGTGCAGTAATGAAACCGCCATTAATACTCTGTTGGCGGTAATATTACTATTAAAACCCTGGGGGCAGTAATAATACCATTAATACCCTGGGGGCAGTAATAATACCATTAATACCCTGGCAGTCTCCATGCTGTACCCTGGGGGCAGTAATAATACCATTAATACCCAGGGTGCAGTAATAATACCATTAATATCCTGGCAGTCTCCATGCTGTACCCTGGGGGCAGTAATAATACCATTAATACCCTGGCAGTCTCCATGCTGTACCCTGGGGGCAGTAATAATACAATTAATAACCTGGTTGCAGTAATAATACCATTAATACCCTGGGTGCAGTAATAATACCATTAATACCCTGGCAGTCTCCATGCTGTACCCTGGGGGCAGTAATAATACCATTAATACCCTGGGTGCAGTAATAATACCATTAATACCCTGGGTGCAGTAATAATACCATTAATACCCTGGGGGCAGTAATAATACCATTAATACCCTGGCAGTCTCCATGCTGTACCCTGGGGGCAGTAATAATACCATTAATACCCTGGGGGCAGTAATAATACCATTAATACCCTGGCAGTCTCCATGCTGTACTCTGGGGGCAGTAATAATACCATTAATACCCTGGCAGTCTCCATGCTGTACCCTGGGGGCAGTAATAATACCATTAATACCCTGGGTGCAGTAATAATACCATTAATACCCTGGCAGTCTCCATGCTGTACCCTGGGGGCAGTAATAATACCATTAATACCCTGGGTGCAGTAATAATACCATTAATACCCTGGGTTCAGTAATAATACCATTAATACCCTGGGGGCAGTAATAATACCATTAATACCCTGGGGGCAGTAATAATACCATTAATACCCTGGGGGCAGTAATAATACCATTAATACCCTGGGTGCAGTAATAATACCATTAATACCCTGGGGGCAGTAATAATACCATTAATACCCTGGCAGTCTCCATGCTGTACCCTGGGGGCAGTAATAATACCATTAATACCCTGGCAGTCTCCATGCTGTACCCTGGGGGCAGTAATAATACCATTAATACCCAGGGTGCAGTAATAATACCATTAATACCCTGGCAGTCTCCATGCTGTACCCTGGGGGCAGTAATAATACCATTAATACCCTGGGGGCAGTAATATAACCATTAATACCCTGGGGGCAGTAATAATACCATTAATACCCTGGGGGCAGTAATAATACCATTAATACCCTGGGTGCAGTAATAATACCATTAATACCCTGGCAGTATCCATGCTGTACCCTGGGGGCAGTAATAATACCATTAATACCCTGGCAGTCTCCATGTTGTACCCTGGGGGCAGTAATAATACCATCAATACCCTGGCAGTCTCCATGCTGTACCCTGGGGGCAGTAATAATACCATTAATACCCTGGGGGCAGCAATAATACCATTAATACCCTGGGGGCAGTAATAATACCATTAATACCCTGGCAGTCTCCATGCTGTACCCTGGGGGCAGTAATAATACCATTAATACCCTGGGTGCAGTAATAATACCATTAATACCCTGGGGCAGTTACTGGGCCCCTGTTAACCCCCCATTCCCCGGACCAGCTGGCAGGTTACTTACTGCTCCTACGTTCCCAGTGCTGATTCAGGTTATGACTTCCTGTTTAGTGACGTGCAGGACACGCCCAGACCTGCCGCATGGCATGCTGGTTCCCTAGGTCGGCCATGTTTGTTATGGGCAGAGTGTGGTTATAATGCAGGTTTCCTGCCAGTAGTTGTGGCCTGACATTAATGTACAGCTTGATAGCTACATGTTATTAATTGGGACCACTTACTATTTCACAGGTTATTCCCATTCAGATAAAGGACATTCTGCCCCCATTTATAATGAGAAATGTCCTATCCAGATAAAGGAACTCCATGGCCCAATCTCTGTTTAGGAGATACATTTTATCATTCATTTTTAGTTAGTATAAAAAGCAGTGTGCATTATCTATAGATCTCTTGTCTGAAGACTTTATTAGCCCTCCCCTTCTAGCCCCGCCCAGACTTTCTGTGTCTGTCCAATCACAGACTTCCCAAAGCAGCTCAGTGAGAATTCTTTGCAAGGCAGGTGCTCGGGGGGGTAACAAGGTTCATTTATAAATGTATTCATTTCTATTGTAATCTGCATTTTTTTGTAAAATGAAAAAAAAGAAGATAAGCTCTTCATGCATAAGCATTCCATCATGATAAACTGTTTTAGAGGTCTGGAGTGAATCTTTATAGGAACACTCCAAGCACCATAACCACTGTAGGTTACTGTTATGGTTATGGTGTCAGGTGTGGTTTAGGGCACACAATGTAAGTTTGCTAACTAGAAGACAACATACCTAGGCTTAATGGAAACTGAAGCTACGTGTTTCATGTTTTTTTAACAATCCTATTTTTGTTCAGGTAGATGCACGCTATACAAAGGAGGAATTTCTGGTGGTCATACAAATGATTTCTCCAGTGCACTTGTGTGGCTAGTGCACCATTTTAAAAGCAATAACAAAAAAGATTTCCACCCACTTTAGTAATCTAACATAAAGGATTGGTCACGCATTGCTTCAGAAGGAACATGAAGGATTACACCTCAGAGTAATGTTCGTGAGCAGACTTTATTATTCCAAGCAACGTTTCAGCTCCGCTATTGAGCCTTTATTTGCATGCTTGATCAGTGGCGTACACATGACCCATGGGGCCCCGGTGCAAAAATTGATCCGTGGGCCCCCCCCCCGCACTTACTCGGCACGGTTCGCAACACGTGGCGGCGGGCACCTGGTCGCAGGGGTTGCAGGGCTGCGGTATGCACACACACTTAAAGGACCACTACAGACACCCAGATCACATCTAGTTTTAATCCTGCAGCTGAAAACATAGCCGTTTCAGAGAAACGGCTATGTTTCACTGAGGGTTAATCCATCCTCTGGTGGCTGTCTCATTGACAGCTGCTAGAGGAGCTTCCACGATTCTCACTGTGAAAATCACAGTGAGAAGACACTGAACGTCCATAGGAAAGCATTGAGTAATGCTTTCCTATGGGCGGTTTAAATGCGCGCGCGCCTCTTGCTGCGCATGTGCATTCGGAGCTGAGAGGCGGACACTGGGGAGTCCGACGCTGGAGAAAGGTAAATGCTGAAGACACACAAACACACTCTCACGAACAGACGCATACACACTAGCTAACAGACAAACACATTTACTGACAGAGACACAATCAGCGACAGACATACATGCACACTTACAAAACATACACTTTCACTGACAAACACACACTCACTAACAGACATCAAACACACTCAGTAACAGACACACACAGTAACACACTCACTAGCAGACACACACCCAATAACAGACACACTCACTGACACACACACTAACACACGCACTAACACAAACAAACACTAACACACACACTAACACACACACTAACACACACACACACTAACACACACACACTAACACACACACACACACACACTAACACACACACACACTAACACACACACACACTAACACACACACACATACACTCACTAACACACAAACACACATTTTTTTTTTACATTTAATCCCCCCAGCCTCATTACCTTTTGTCTGGGTGGCCAGCGTGCGAGGGAGCCCTTTCCCCTGTGTGCTTCCTCTTCAGCTCCCTCGCGCGCCGCTTTGGGATGCCGACACCGGCTCCAGCATCAGTGCGGTGCGCGAGGGAGCTGAAGAGGAAGCACTGAGTGCTCCCTCACGCACCCGCCTGCCCGACCGGCCACCCGCCCGCTGGGGTCAGCAGGGCCAGCCTCGGGGGGGCCTGAGGTAGTCGCCTCCTGGGCCCCCCAGGAGAAGAGGCTGGCCCTGTGGGTACATACCGGGTCACAGGGGCGGCCGGGCCCACTGGTGGGCCGGGCCCGGTCACAGCCGCGACTCCTGCGACCCTGGTATGTACGCCACTGTGCTTGATGAAGGCTTAATAGCGGATGCTGAAACGTTGCTTTGACTAATAAAGTCTGCTCACAAACATTACTCTAGTAATGCAAAGACATTATCCGTGTTGTACCGAACATGTGTCTGGCCCCCTTACCTGCCGAGTTTACATAGAAACATAGAATGTGACGGCAGATAAGAACCATTCGGCCCATCTTGTCTGCCCAATTTTCTAAATACTTTCATTAGTCCCTAGTCTTATCTTATAGTTAGGATAGCCTTATGCCTATCCCATGCATGCTTAAACTCCTTTACTGTGTTAACCTCTACCACTTCAGCTGGAAGGCTATTCCATGCATCCACTACCCACTCAGTAACGTAATACTTCCTGATATTATTTTTAAACCTTTGCCCCTCTAATTTAAGACTATGTCCTCTTGTTGTGGTAGTTTGTGAATTCGAGGTTGAGAACCTTGATCAGTAGGCAATTAGCTAACTTGGGAAGCAAAAAAGGCTGAGTGTTACCGGTATGCTTGGACATGTCATGAAATATGGTAGCCTTAAAGCGAAAAATGCCATGACCCTTCAAGGAGTTCTCTAGTATCTTTAAAAGTAAAATTAAAAAAATATATTATATATCATATGTGACAGTAGAGGCTGCTGTGTTCCTTTCCATTGTGGCTAATTATTAAAGAGCACAGTGTGCACACTTTGAGCGATGGGCTGAAAGGACTGATGCCAGGTAAGTGTATTCCTCATTAAAGGATTAATCAGTAAAAACTGATAAGAAGACTAGGCGCTAATATTAAACAGAAAACAATAAATAAATGATTATAATCAAGTCTGCATAACGATAAAAATAAAATACATTTATATAAAATCCATACAAAAATCACAAATGTTCTTAAAAAATTCCAAGTCCTCTAGTTAATAACAGCAATTATAACAAATATGAAAACTCTGAGAACGGAAAAAATCAAACGAAGGAAATCAGTAGCATGTCCTTCGGTAAATCCATGCTTAGGTCTTAAAACAGTTTTTGCTCACATAATCTCTCACAATTAAGGTACCATATTTTGGAGAGAGTACCACCCCTCTCTCGAGGGGGTAATAGAGAAAAGAATCTACTTAAAAAAAAGTCAGCTGGATGTACCATTTGGATACCACGTGTCCTCATGGGCTCAACAAAAAATTTCACATCACGCACTCATCCTATATACTTACCCCTTGGTGGATTCCCCTCTGGTCTGCTCGCTCCGCATCTCTCGCGTGAAATGGCATTCGGAGGAACGCCGGCCGCTTCAATATGCCACATTTAAATAACCCATCTCTGAAAGTGACGCTGGCGATGCAAACATTTGTGCTTCATCGCATCATCGCACAGGATCAATTCTAAGCTATTCTTGCCCTCCTGGAATTTAATTTCAAGCTGATTTTCTATGGGACCTTGTTGTGGCTTCAGTTTTGTTAAATCCAAGAGCGTGTATCTTCTTCTGTATTTTTTGGCTTATCTGACCTTGGCATTACCTCGACTATTCTGTTTTATATTGTCCTTGACTTTTTGTTATTCTCTCATTTATTCAGATTTTCTGATATTCTTTAAAAAAAAAAAAAATTTAAATAATCATTTTTTTTTATTAAACAAGATAAAACAAGGATATAACATTTCATAAGAATAAAATGTTCCAATATTTTAAAGATTACAATAAGTCAAGCAGTATATCAAGGCATATTATCATGTTAATATGTATAACACAGAAACACATGTGAGTTTGTATCTTAGGGACATAAAGCAAATTATTTTATTTGCATATATGTCAGACGAAATACTATCCTTCTTTGATTGCATCTCTCAAAGTAAAAGAAGTCCTAAACAAAATAATGTTTTCCTCAAAAGAAGGAAACTGTTCAGTTGGTGCCTTGGGAGGGGGCGCTGCCAGGAACGCCGGCCCCCCTCATTCTGCAGCCGCCCTCCCTGTAGCGTGGCCGAGCGCTGTATCATGGTCCGCGGGTACAGGGAGCATCTGTCTCCTGTACCCAGCCGGACTAACAGGAAGTACACACTGAGTGTGCACTTCCTGTTAGTCCGGCCGGGTACAGGAAACAAAAGCTCCCTGTACCCGCGGACCATGATACAGCGCTCGGCCACGCTACAACAATGGTAGGGGGTGGGGGGAATAAGGAGAGATTGGGAGGGGGATAAGGAGAGGATGGGGGATAGGAGAGATGGGGATAAGGAGATGGGGGGATAAGGAGGGTGGGAGGGGATAAGGGTGGGGGGATAAGGAGATGGGGGATAAGGAGAGAAGGGGGGAATAAGGAGAGATTGGGGGGGGAATAAGGAGAGGTGGGGGGTGGAATAAGGAGAGATGGGGGATAAGGAGAGATTGGGAGGGGGAAGGAAATTGGAGGGGGGATAAAGAAAGATTGGGAGAGGGGGATAAAGAAAGAAATTGGGAGGGGGAGAGAGAAGGAAATTGGAGGGGGGAGAGAAGGAAATTGGAGGGGTGGGAGAGACTGACATTCATCATACACAATGCACCCCTTACACACAGAAAAACACACAATGCATTACACACACTGCATTACACACACAGACACACATACACAAGCAATGCAACCGTTACACACAATGCATCCCTTACACACACAGAAACGCACAATGCATTCATTACACACACTCAATGCACCTCTTACACACACTCAATGCATCCTGTACATACACAGAAACACACCTTGCAGCTCTTACACATACAAACACAGATTCACACAATGCATTCCTTACACACATATCAGGACATCCCCTACACACTCCACCCCCTGTGAACAAACTCATTAGTGGAACATGAAGGTGGACCCTGGGACCCAGACCTTGAGCTGTGTAAAGGGCCCCCAAAAAATGGAGCTGCTTCTCGTTCTCCCAGAACATTGATTTGTGTGACCTCAGTTACAAACAGCCTCCAGAGATCCTGTTATACACCAGACCAGTGGAGCCAGACTGCAGCTAGAGCCCATCATCATCCTCATCTCGTTGTAAGTAGGCAATCTAGTATATTATTCGTGGCACTAAGCTCTAATTTACCTCACATTAAAGAAACACTATAGTCCCCAGAACCACAGCAGCTTAATGTAGTGGTTCTGGTGTCTATAGCCTGTCCCTGCATGCCTTTTAATGTAAACACAGCGGCACTGCAGCACTGGCGTTAGTTAACATGGCAAATCATATGGATGGGGCATTGTGATGTCACATGGGGGGGGGGCGGCAAACTTTACTTTTGCCTAGGGCGGCAAAAATCCTTGCACCGGCCCTGGCTGGAGGGGGCTGTGTGAGCTGTGGCCGCACAGTACCCCATGGCCGCACGGAGGAAGAGTGGGGCGGAGCTAATCAAAATCGGAGGCGGGGCCAAACTGGCACTGGGGCGGGGCTTTTGGGGAGGCAAGGGGGTGCCAAGCACAGGATCCGCCCCGGGTGCCAAATGCTCTAGGTACGCCCCTCCCCTGCTCAGTATATTTTGTTTTATATAAGTTCAGCAATCCTAGTCATCCATGACAGAGGCCTACTCCTGGTACTGGATGAGGATGATTCCTTCGATCACTGCAGAATAAGTTGGTGCTATATATATATGCCAAATCCCCAATGGGACCCGACAGGAGTATCCATTATTATTATTATTATTTTATTATTTATATAGCACCATCAGATTCCGTAGCGCTGTACAATTAGTGGAATAACATACATGTAATTGTAACCAGACAACTGGACGTACAGGAACAGAGGGTGGAGGGCCCTGCTCCATGAGCTTACATTCTAGAGGAAGTGGGGTATAGTGATACAAAGGGTAAAAGTAGGGGTACGTAGTAGGTTGTTAGAAAAGTATTAATTGAGGGCTTTGTAGGTAATTTTTGACAGTTGGAGGAGAGGAGTCATGGAGGGTGGGGGATGAAAACCTGCTGACGGTTTAATTGAAATGCTTTCTTGAAGAAGTGAGTTTTCAATGATTTTTTGAATGAGTGGAGACTGGGTGAAATTCTTACGGAGAAGGGAAGGGAGTTCCACAGAAGAGGTGCAGCCAGGGGCGGACTGAGCACTCGGGCAAATTGGTCATGGACCGAGGGCCCGAGGCTCTGGGGGCCCGCCCCTGCTGCAGTGCAGTAATGGCTGAGCTGGGGATTTAATCTCCCCAGCCAGCCTGCACAGCACAGCCTTCCGCGGGCCCCTGCTGCTAAAAATATTATCCCCCTTGCAGGGCACACTGAGGGACAGCTAAAGGGCCCTCCCAAAGAGCCCGCTAGGCTGCCACTCAGTGTGCCTGTCTCCAAACACAGCCTCACTGAGCTGCCAGTAACACCGCTCAGGGCAGCTCCGTGCGCCTTGTTCTGCAGGAACTGACATCATCAGTCACAGTGCAGAGTGCGGAGCTGCTCTGAGCAGACTTACAGGCAGCATGTCCGCATTGTGTGCCCTGGATCAGGGAGGTTCCTTCAGAAGAGGACCACCAGAGAGGTAAGATTTAAGAGGGGAGAGGGGGGAGGCTTTATTTTATTTTTTATATTTATTTTTAAGTCATTTTATTATATTTTATTAAAAATGTTTTATCATATAATGTCCCCCACTACTGCCCCATCAAAGCACCTACCCCCCTGCTCCCACTGCATCCCCTACCCCCCTGCCCCAAGTGGAGCCCTTACCCCCCTGCCCCAAGTGG